GGGCGGGCGGGCGGGCGGGCGGGTGGGTGGGTGGGTGGGTGGGTGGGTTCGGTGGGTCGGTTCGGTGGGTCGGTGGGTCGGCTGGGTGAATGGGATCCCTCCATTTCTCTTTTTTGAGCCAAAGTGGCAGTTTGTTTGGAACCCACACAAGTAAACTGCAGCTTTTGAAGGGGACATCCAGTGACCCCTGTTCTGTGAAAAAGAGGAGGGTGCTGGTTCAAAAAAAGGCAGCCCGGTGCAGAGCAACTCGTGAAACTCCTTGAGGGACCGAAAAAGCGCGGCATGATTTATGTCCTAATTTTCCATTTCGGTCCTAGCTTTGGCGCGACCGTGTAGATGTCTTGGATTGTCTCAGAGTGCCAAGTGTAGATATGAATCAAGAAGCCACTGCAGCCCACCAAGCCAACATGAGAATCCATCAGGACAAAAATGATTGATGAGCCAGCAACTTGAGAGCCTTCTGCCGAAAGCGACGCAAATGACCCAACAGCTGACCAACATGAGAATTCCACAAACATGAGCAGAGCCCCGATTTTGTTTTTTCACCCACCCCACATGCTTGAATTTGAGTCGGGCAGGCTGTCCGGGTCGAGTTTGTCTCAAGATAGAGACCCTTGGCTTGGCAGCCCTCGGGCAAGAAGTTGGAAAGTCGGTCAGGAAGTTGGAATCTTTGGCAGGTTGGCATGGTCCCACAGAGTTTTCCGAAGTTCGGAAAGCTCTGTCGGAGCTTTCGCTCTGTCAGGTGCCAGAAGTAAAGCAGCCGGAGGACGAGGAGGTCGCCGAAGCGATCGGTCGCCGTTTTCGCCCCATTTTTGGCGAGGCTCGGTGCCGTGTTTTGTTTGTTGGGATTCCAAGAAGAAGCCGGCCATGTCAGGGTTTGGGGAACTCAAACAATATGTTCTAGTTTTGAGGTTTGGAACAGAGTCAACTATATTATTATGTATATATATATATATATATATTATATATATATATATTATTTGCTGTGTACCTCAGATGTGGACCAAGATCCGGGCTTACCCGAGAGTTGACCAAAACTGGAAACTCTTCTAGGTCCCCCAGTAGTGCCCTTTTACCTTCTTTTTTTTTGGGGGGGAGTTCCCCTACTAAAATAGACTACAGAAAAAAAGGGTACCCTTGTTCTAACCTCGCTGCTGGAGGACGTAGTGTTGGTGCTGCAAGGTCTTCCCCCTGTTTAAGGCACCCGACAAGTTGCGTGACTTGTGGCCGGATCGTCAACTGAGCAGGTCTCAGACTGCTCGCAAGCGCAACCTGATACCCGGAAAATTGCTGCAATTGGCCATCCAAGTGCCAGCTGACCCCGTTAAGCCATGATACATGTTCCACCTACACAAACCTATCAGGTGGTTCATGCTTAACTTTATGTACATGTTCCAGTCTATTTCAGCCGCGGTTTTGTCAACGGCATGGGGACCGCCGGAAAGCCCAAAGAGAAGCACGCCCCGCCGCGAGGAGTCCAAATTTTGAAGTTGGCGAAAGTGTCTTTATGCTGACTTGGAGCCCACTCGCAAAAAAGCCACAGCAACTCATAGTGACTGGTGACGAGCGACCAAGGTTGACTGATTTCACCATGGTATTGCCTGACGCAGATTGAACATCCAAGTATGCCTTTACTGAGATCCATTGGAGGGTCACTTTGCGAGGGCTTGGGGCAACAACTTGGTCGATGAAGTACTGGGAGAAATCTGCCATCTAACATTCACTTAATGGGAGGTGTTTATGGGTGGTTCCCTTGGTTGCCTGCTAACACAGGTGATTAGAAAGACTGGCGGAAGTCAGTCGCATTGGTTTGTTTTTGTCCTTTATGTTTGCGTGAAGTAGATACCCAGAGATCTGCCTTCAGCCCACTCAATGATCCAGATAGTACGGGTGTGTCCTTTTTAGGTGATTTGTTTTCCTTTTGCTTTCCCTTTAAAACCAAGAACGAAAGTGTTACCCTCAAGAACAGACACACCCATATTGGGGTGGTTTCAAAGGGAAACCACAAGGAACAACACTTTTCGTTCGGGGAGGGTCCTCTACAAAAAGACACCCATACTGTGGTTGGACGAAATACTGCACTTTGAAACAATGGGAAGCCATTATTTTCTTGGTACTTACCGGGGAATCCTCATAGGGTTTCTGAAAAGTGGTGCGTTGGATGGATTTGGAAACCGTCCACAGGAAGTCCCGGGACTAGGGCCTGGCTTGGTTTTTTGCCACGCGCCGAAGGCCCCCTCGCCTTTGCCAATCTTCTCGCCAGTTTCGCCCACGCGCGGGCGCTCGAGCGAAAGAATCAAGCAGGGGAAGTGTTTCTTTGGCAGGGCATTTGTGGTGAAAGGAACCCTGATAGGGCAGATGAAGTTTTGGGTCTCCAAGAATTGTTTTGGAGTTCGGGGTACACTAGATTACTAAATTGGTTGCCAGGATTTGCACATTGGTTTTAGCGTACCTAAGCTTGTCTGGGACAAGCTTAAGGGTTTTTGCCACTTCCTTCAAAACATGCTCTCTGTGTAAGTCGGATAACTCGCTTGCAACGGTGAAATGACGTACCTAACTGTTGTGAGAGGGACCGAATGGACGGAAGCGGTCTTCTTTGTGATCTTTTTCACGAGCGATTTACCCCATGGTCCTTATTTTTTCGCTTATTCCTGTCTTCCAGCCAGCGTGAATCATATTTATCTAGTCGGGTAGACCCGTAAATTGGATGTTTTTTCCTTTTGGGTTTCCTGAGCCAAGCTAAGAATACCCTGAAAAACACACACCCCAAACAGGTCGCCAGGGGATTCTCTCCTTTGCTTCTATTAGGGCGTATGTCGCGGTGACCTAGCCATTTCCAAATAGGGGCCAGGGACGTCCCAAAAACAAGAGCAAGGAAACTTGTTTTGATGTATTTGTTAATGTTATACATGGTTATATTGACCCGAATAATTCAAATTACTTGGATCTAAGATTGCATCGTTAATACAAAAGGATAATGCATTCGATGGATAATCAAGTACTTTGAGGGAGCGAAACGCAAATTGGAACGGGGTACTGTGGGGTACTTTTGCCCGCCGACTTAGGTAGGAGAGCTCTGTGAGTCTTGCCGCACCTTCCATTTGAACCTTTGAAGCTTCCACTTGGAGAGAAACGATACTTGGAGTTGCGCGCAAGGAAGGCGTGTTTGACTGAAGAGGATCGGCGTGCGGAACGTTCATCCATGGAGACTGGCAGCCAAAAGGTTGAGTGGCGTTTCAAAGGCCAAGGTTGCTTCTTTTGATCCCTTGTCCCAGGTTTGGTCGTGATGTCTGGCCCCTTCCCAACAAGTTGTTGGACTTTGTATCAGGGAAACTAGCAGGGATACAGGAGACAGGGATTCGGGAAGATTCCCCTACATGCACCTTGACTAAGTTTGATATGGGAAATGGCGCCGATTTGGAATCGATTCCCCCATATCCCCGCTCCCTCTGTATCCGGGTCCCCGCTCGTTTGTTTGTCCGATTGAGCAAACTTGTGGCTTGGGTTCCACACTCCTTGCAAGCAGTCCCATGTGTTCCCCTGCTTGCTGTCTCACCCAAACGTCCATGAGCCTCTCATGATTGCAGAGCCCACCAGCCCCTATCGATCACGTATGCTGGCGGTTCCAAAAGCCCACCCCTTTGTGTTTTGAGCTTCTCAGCTGGTTTAGTGGGAGCTTCCATTCAACATCCCAGTGCAAGTTAAACTTTTAGCAGGGCAACTAAGCACAGCCAACGAATGTAGGTTGGAATCTAAATTGATTTCACTTTTGCCCATACACATGTCAGAATCCTTCCGATCCTTCGATCAGAATGCTGGAAAAGGTTATTCAAAACCTTTCCAGAGGGGTACGTTGGTTTCTTCTCGAACCTCTGTTTTGGTGGGAGGTTGCAAAGGATGTTACATTGACCACATAACCCCCCCCGTGTAGGCGACTCACCAAAATACTATGTAAGTTGGGGCTCGTACGTGTATGCATTTGGCGGGGGAGCACCCTTAGCAGTGGTTGGCGGGTACAAGGGAGACCCCTAACACTCACTTCCTGAGTTCCTGGACTTCATGCTTTTTGGGTTTGGACCAGTTTAGTGGTAAATAACAAGTTTGGTTACTTTTTTTGGGCCATCCACTCAGGAAGTGAAATAACATGATGGCTTTGTCCTGTGTATCTTGTTTTGCACCACATCCGCGGTGCGTGGAATTTGCGGGATTGGCTCAAGCTCAGGTGCTGATTGCCATGGCTGTTCCAACCTGCTTGAGCATATATATATATATATATAGGTGTCCATTTTGTAGGATACTTACCCCCCACCAAAACAAGGCTTTCCTTTTGGTGTTTCTTTGAAACAGACCAAAAAGGGGTACCCTCAAAATAGACACACCACATATGCATTTGTATATATATATATATATATACCTGGACCTTCGTTCTCCTGAAAAAAACAAAACCTTTTCTCCGCCTTTGACTGGATATTCGGAAAAAAAACGTTCCACTGTTTGCCGCAAAAACCTGAAACTCCTAAACCTCCTGGGAAGCACGCTATTGCAACGCTCGCGGCCTTTGACACGTTAAAGGAAGCTTTGCAGGGGTAAACAGCTTGTTGCAGCCCGCAAGTTTGTCAAAACATGCAATGGCGGTCCAAAGTTGCGCGGCGCAGAAACATCGTACCCATTTTGACCTCAAAACGCCCGCAAGTTTCCGCAAATCTCCCGCAAAACCCCGCAAACTCCCGCAAATCAGAACAAGTCGTAGTTTTGAATGATCAAGGCATCCCATGGTGTTCACTGGCACGTTGGCAAGTGCTGCGAGGTGTATTTACTTTGTATGGCCAATGCGCGACTGGAAACGACGCAATCGTATGTGTTTTTGCCCCAATTATATAGCTAAACCACTGGAGTTCGGTAAATCGTAGGGGTCTCCTAAACCACCCAGAAATTTCCCGGAGTTTGAAGGTCCAGGTATATCCAATGAATCCACACAGTCTTGTTTCTTAGTCCGAGCGCATGCACGTACCACAGGATTTCGCCACTTCCGAAAGCAGTTTCTTTGAGGATTCTTCTACCCGATCCGGTAACCAAAGGCCGAGTCTAAGCAACCCAATAGGTGATTCCTGGTTTACTGGCATCTCCTTGGGTTCCTTGTTACTCAACGTCATGGGCACACCCACGAGGAAATGATACGCATCGGACCCGCATGAAACCCTCCATTTTCTTTTTTTGGAAAATCTAAAAGTGGCAGTTTCGATGGAAACCACTAGTCAATTGCAACTGTTGAAGGGGAAAAGTAAAACCAGTGACCCCTGTTTGTAGCTGAGAGTCTGTTGCAGATCAGATCTTAAGGGTTATAAACCCAATCTCCCCTGCGGACGGTCGTACCCCTCCGAGGCGGCCAGGTGGGAAGATACCTTGCACATGCCCAGAAAGGTTCTCGGAGCACTGCTATCCATTTTGTCGGGTTCATTCAGTGCCAGTACCTTTGAGCTTTCAGCCTGAACTTTTGACCGCCAAGTTGTGTGTGTGTTCCCTGGCTTGGTGTTCTGCTCCTCCGAGCGAGCGCAAAGGAGCGACCTCGGTCATCGGGCCGTCGGTTTCGCCATGGCCAGCGTCAGCTTGTGCAGTGGCACGGAGGTGCTAACGATCTCCGACTTCGCAGTCTGGTGGCAGGAGACCTCGGAGCAGCGAGAGCTGGGGGCCTGTTTTGTGGACGCCTTGAGGCAGGCTTCACGGCAGCCTTGGTCATGGTTTTTGGTTTGTCGGTTGCTGTTGTTGGTTTCATTTACGAGTATCTCCCGATTTTTGATTGTTGTGTCTGTTTTGACGTGTGTTTGAGTTGTGGTGCTTTCCAATTATTTTGTTTACTCAAGGTGTTGTTCTCTTTTGCCGTTTTGTGTGTTGTGGTTTTGCGGGTTGGGTTCTTATGGATGCCTCCTATCGTAGTTTCAGAGTGCCAGGGCGTCCCTTTGTTTCGGTTTGGTTTGACACTTCTCCCAGATGGTCTTCCTGGATCCCGCTAAACCAGCCACAGCATAGCCCTCAAACAAAGACTATACTGTGGTGAGTTCCCGCTCGGATGGATTGAAGCGGGAATTTCCAGACACCAATTCCAAACCCAAACCCCGATTTCCTCAGGCCCAAACACCCAAGCCCCTGAAGCCCCAACTGATTCATGGTTGGGAAACGTTTACATTGTTGCTTGTGGTTTAGTGGTTGGATTTCACAACCACTTAAGTGCTAAAATCTGATTGTTGCTCTTCGAACGTCAAAGGATTGGACCGGCAGTCAAAAGTTTGGACTTGTTTTGACTTCACGGAAGTGAGACCGGTCAAACCTCTCCAAATCGCTTCTTTCCCAGTCAACCCCTCCGTAAATCTCTGCCCAAAACCGACCTTTGGAACTCTTGGTTTTCCCGGTTTGGTCTATTTTTGCTAAATTGCACGAGCTCAGGGGGGGGGGCCTATTCCAAATCAAGAAGTGTTTCACACGACTCGCGGACTTCCTCAAGGCAACCAGGTTTCCCCCTGTTGAAACGTTGGAGGCGACAGATCTGATGGACGATATCGGTTTTCTTCCAACCTGAATGGGGTGTTACTTGCTGATAATCTGACCTTTTGCAATTTGCAGGTTCAATGAGACTCCAAAAGCTCGAAGAGCCTTTTCCGGATCAACCAAGGACCATGCAACTCATTGAGGATTTAGCTTGGTGGCATCATGTGTCATGTGGCATCTTCTTTCTGTTGCAGTTTGCCTTGGAGGAATCAGTGAGTCTCATGGTCGCAGTTGGAAATGCAACTGCGTTGCGGAAGCATCATTCACAAGAGTCTGGGCATGCCCTCATGCACGGAGCACAGCTCAAGCAACAAGCGTTCACAAGCAGAAGCGCGAACTCAAGCATTACTAGCAACAGCGGATGGCATGGAGGCGCTCTCTGCCTTACAAAGGCGGCCGCGAAGATTCGACAACATTCCCGAAGATTTCGTCGACTCGACAACATTTCTCGTCGATTCGACAACATTTCCTGAAATTTCTTCGGCTCGACAACATTTCTCGTCGATTCGGCAACTTGTTCCTTTTTCCCGTGATTGAAAATGTCGTCGACTCGTTTCTCGTCGATTCGACAACATTTCTAGAAACCTGCTCGACTCGACAAGTTTTTCCTTTTTGGCGTGAAAATTGAAAATGTCGTCGACTCGACAACATTTCTCGTCAATTCGACAACATTTCCGGAAATCTCGTCGACTCGACAACATATCTCGTCGATTCGACAACATTTCTGGAAATGTTGTCGATTCGACGAGATATGTTGTCGAGTTGACAACATTTTTGCGCAGCATTTTTCAATAAGTGTTTTTGCGGAGTTGGGGGCATAAAAATAAGTGTTGTCTTGTCATTTTTGCCTTAACAATAAGTGTTTTCACAGTTTTTTCTGGAAAAAACACCAACCGACGAACCTTTCCAGAAATGTTGTCGAATCGACGAGATATGTTGTCGATTCGACAACATTTCCGGAAATGTTGTCGAATCGACGAGAATTGTGTCGAGTCGAGAAATGTGGTCGAATCTTGGAGAAATGTTGTCGAGTCGACGAAAATTCCGGAAATGTTGTCGGATCGACGAGAAATGTTGTCGAGTCGACGACATTTTGTTTCCTCTTGGGAAAAAGGGAAAAGTTGTCGAACCGACAAGAAATGTTGGCGAGTCGACTAAGTTTCCGGAATTGTCGAATCCACGAGAGATGTTGTCGAGTCGACGTCATTTTCAACTTTCACGGGAAAAATTAAAAAGTTGTTAATGTTGTCGAGTCGACGACATTTTCAATGTTCCACAGGAAAAGGAAAGACTTGTCAAATCGACGAGAAATGTTGTCGAGTCGACGAAATCTTCGGAAATGTTGTCGAGCCGGCGAGAAATGTTGTCGAGTTGACGACATTTCAAATTTCCACAGGAAAAGGAAAAGAGTTGTCGACCCCACAACATTTCCGGAAATGTTGTCGAACCGACGAGAAATGTTGTCGAGTGGGCGACACGGGGAATGGTGTTGAATCGACGAGAAATGTTGTCGAGTCTACAACATTCAAATTCCCATGCGAACAAATGGAAGAAAAGAGCCCCCGTCTGGCAACATCAGCCAGATGTTCAAATCGAAACGGTAGTGTGCAGTTTTGATACGAGAAGCACATCAACCTGGAAATTTGCAGAAAAAGAGTGCTGGCTGGGGGCAATATCTGAGTCGAGCCCCTGCGAGAAGGGATGGATAAGTGTTTTACTACGATTTTTTAGTCTACCGAGAGAATCCAAAGTTGCGCAAAGGACAACTGAAGCAACAAACGAGAGCAATGTTCTCGTGAAGTTGTCGTATGTATACGAACGCTCTCGTATGTATACGAACGCTCTCGTTTGTCTACGAACACTCTCGAATGTGTGCGACCTGCTTCTCGCGCGCGCAGATCATGCTGCATTTGGCGACACTGCCTGGCGACACTTTTTAGCCTTTTAAAACCATGGAACTGTCCACCCCAAGTGCTGCATTGTGGTCTGCTCGGCATGTGCATGTCTGTGTGCAGCGCGCGTGGAAGCGACGCTGCCCTATATCAAACTATCGCGCCCGCGCGCGGGAAGGCGTGTCTGCGACGTGGCTATACCTTGCTCCAGACATTGTCATATATAAACCTGACCGCGCCAACGGGGCCGTTCGTGCTGCTCCAACGCTGTCGTTTGCGCTACCACCCTGCGCAAGAGGCATGATGTCTAATCGCTGAGGCTGTAGGATTTGTCCACCACGCATGGCAGCAACCCGCCAGCACGGCTGTAATTTTCTACCTGCGTCTCGGACCGCGCAGTGCAAAAGCCGGCTGCGCCACGCGCGCAGGGGAACATCAAAACAAGAAGTTCAGGGGCCCAAGAAGACAGGAAAGAAGTTGGTCAAAGAGAAGGCGCTGGCAGGAAGGAAAAAAGCAAGGGCCGGAAGGCCGTTGCAAAAACTAGGTAAAACAAACAGATCGCAAGGAAGAGGAGCAAGAAGGGAGACGGAAAAGGAAACTAAACGAGTTTTTTTTTAAGTTGGCATGTCCGCCGCTTCAGACACGCTCTTGCTTCCGTTTTCCTCCCACGGCCATATTAGGATGCTGGGTTTGCGCAAGTCTTTGTCTTGCTGGCAGGTTTATTTTGCAGGGCGCCTATTGGTGCCGGTAGATGCTGGCTGTGCCAGCGTGCCAGCTGTGATGCCCAAAGGGCCAATCCGGAAGATTGGAGGGCACCATATGCATTCTTTGGGTGAACACTCGCCTAGGAAAGTCCAATCAATGATTTCTTTGCACGCATTGCAGGTGAGATGGTTTGTATGTGTTTTGTACGCATGGTGTATGCTGTTGCATATTGCTCTGCAGTTTCCATGCGCCTCTAAAACGCGCATACGTGCACATGTTTCGTTTAAGAAGCGCATACGCAACTACAAGACCTCCTCTGACAAATGCGCATAACACACATACGCAACGCAAATACAAATCATACAAACTGCACACAACATGTGAACAAAATGCAAACAACAGTCCACAACTCGTACAGTGCGCTTACAACACGCATACAAACAGCACACGCACAAAACACATACAGAAGGCACGCACAGGCTGCGTATAAAACGCATGCTTGTTTATGCAACACGCATACACAGCGCACGCAGAAAGAATCCAAACTGCACACGCAATGCAGACAATCTGAATGCAAAACGCATACAACATCCATACAACACGACATACAAATCAAATGCAATTCCTACGACATGCTCACAACACGTGTACAACACGCAAATGCAACACAAATACAGTATGCGTACAACACTGCGTAACACGCGTTCGACATACATATAACATGCATACAACATGCAAACAAAACGCACGCACCGTGCGTAGAACATGTGCAGCACGCGTACACAATGCGTGCAAAGCACACACACACGTTTTCACGCATGCACATGTGCGCAACATGCGTGCAACACGCATACGAAGCGCACACGGCACTCGTACAACACGCAGCCAGCATGCGCACAACACGCAAACCAAGCAACATGATTGCGCATACAAGGTGCATACAACACGCATACAGCGCGCAATATGCATACACGATGCATACAACACTCATAGAACACGCGTACAAAAAGCACGCACGCTGCATACAACATGCATACAACACGCATACAAAACGGATAGAAGATGCATGCAGCATGCGTGCAACAGAATGCAAACTGAAAGCTTGCACGACGCACGCAACACGCACGCAAGATGCATACAAAACGCACGCAACAAGCGTGCAACACGCATACCCGACGCATATGAACTGCGCGCATGCAACATGCATACAAGGTGCGTACAACATTCATGGAAATCAACTCCGACTTTCCGGGTGAGTACTCACTCTGCGCATCGAACGCGGAGAGTTATGAGAAGTAGGTAGCGGCCCAAATTGCAATATGTATAAGTAGTCCCCAAATCGCATTTAGGAACTTTACTGCAGACTAGTCGAAGACTTTCCATGCAATTTGCCATCCTCTGCAATTCGCAACTTGTTGTTCCAAATCGCGGCTTTTTCTTGCCAATTTGCAACTTTTTGCTTCACATCGCGGTTTTTGTCTCCAATTCGCAGCCGGACACTTCCAGTTTATTTTTTTCAGAAGGACAGCCTACAATTCGCAACTTTTCGCTTCAAATCGCGGCTATTTCGCTCCAAATCGCGGCTGGGGCCCTTCCGAACCTTTGTCAACGTGGTAGCGGGGTGGAACTCGCAAGATTCAGATTTACTGGCCAACGGAAACCGCGTCCCAGGAAAGCCGCGATTTGGAGCGAAATAGCCGCGATTTGAAGCGAAAAGTTGCGAATTGTAGGGTGTGTTTTTCTGGAGACGGGAGCTCCGATCTGCAAGAGGAAGAAAGACATTGGGAAGTGGCCGGCTGTGAGTTGGAGACAAACAGCGCGATGTGAAGCGACAAGTTGCGAATCGAAGGGGCTTTGGAGCGAAACATAGCAAATTGTAAAAAAAAGCCTCGGTCTGCGGCTAACAAAAGGGGCATGTTGCTCCACTGTTAGTTTGCAGAACGCCTGATAATAGGAGCTGGGACTCTGCGTATTTTTGGTGACTTTTTGTGTGATTTTCTACACAAGCACCTACGTACAATACGTTGTTGAGGTAGTACCTATATCCGATTTTGGGACTACCTAAATGCAATTTGGGCCGCACATCGCTACCTAATGTTTAAGGGGCAATTGTCCAACGCTGGAATTCTACGAGTTCGATGCGCAAAGCCTGCTAGTTGAGTGAGTACTCACCTGGCAAGTCCAATTTGAATTCCATGAACGTTGTATACGTTTCTTTGCATTTTGTGTTTTTGCACGCATGCAGTTCATATGCAGGTGGTATGCGTGTTGTATGCATGTTGCGTGCGTCGTGTGTGCTTCTTGCACGCATGTTGCACGCGTGTAGCGCGCAACTTGCGCGTTTCGCGCGGTATACGCATGTTGAACGCATCTTGTATGTCTTGTGTGCATTTTGTATGTGTCTTGTATGCGTGTTGCACGCATCCTGCGTGCGTCTTGTATGCAGGTGTGTTGTCTGCATCTTGTACGCATGTTGCGCGCCGTATGCATGTTGTGCACCCTGTATGCATGTTGCATGTGTGTTGTATGCATGTTGCATGCATTTTGTGCGCGCATTGAGTGTGCATTGGATTTGCATACTGTACGCATGCTGCTTGCATGTTGTATGAGTGCTGTGTGCGTTTCGTCTGTGGGATTCACGTGTGTTGTACAAGTGCCATGTTGTATACGTTTTGCATGCGTGCCATATGTGCTTGAGTGCGTGTTGCACGCATATTTTTCAGGTTTGCTTGCGTGTTGTACGCATGTTGTATGCATTGCGTACGCATTGCATATGCAATTGGTGTGAATTTCGCGTTGTATAGATGTTGCCGATGTTGCATGCGTTTTGCATGCAGCTTGCAAGCGTCGTGGAATACTCCCTGCACGCATCTGAAAGCATTCCAGGCACATGTTGTGCATGTTGCATGCGTTTTGCGTGCGTGCGTTCTGTGTGTGTGTAGTTTGTGTGCGTGATGTGTGCGTAGTGTGGACTGTTGTTTGCGTTTTGTTCACATGTTGTGCGCATTCTGATCGATTTGCACTTGCGTTGCGTGTGCACATTTTGCATTTTCAATTGAACTGTTGTATGCACTTCTTTAAAGAACCATGTGCGCAATGCACATTTTGGAGGCGACCGAAACCCGCATAACAACTGCATACAAAACTGCGTACCGAGCGCCTGCAACATTCATACAACATGCGTCCAAAACACACACAACATAATCCAATTGCAGTTCATACAAACAAAGCATGGAAACCGAATAGGCAAGGATTCACTCAAATCATGCATATGTTACCCTTGCTTCAGCTTTGGGCATCACGGCTGGTAACCGGGCAACCCCAGCATCTACCAACGCCAAAAGCCTGGCCAGCAAGACAAACACTGACAGAGATGCAAGCCCAGCATCCAAGATTGGCCACGTGAGGAAAACGGAAGCAGGAGCACGCGTTTTCCGAAACGGGGGTAGTGCCAACTCACACATAACCCTTTTAACTTTCTTTTCCGTCTGCCTTCTTGCTCCTCCTGCTTGCGAACCCTTGGTTGTTGCAACTGCCTTCCGGCCCTTGCTTCTTTTCTTCCTTCTTGCCTTCCCCCACTTCTTTCCTGTCTCCTTGGGCTCTTCTTGGGCCCTTGAATTTCTTGTTCCCTCTCATTTCTGCCCGTCGTCTTGCCTTCCAGCTTTCCACCATTCGACTTGTTTCTTTACCCTGCTGCCTTTCATCCTGTTTTTGAGTCCTCACACCAGGCGCAGCGCGAGCAACATCGTGTGCAACAAACCCGTTACCGCAGTCAGATTTATATATGACGACGTCTAGAGCAAGACAGCCACGCCGCAGGCAAGTTGGCAGTGCAAACAGCGCCACGACACGCCTTCCCGCTTGCAGGCGCAATGGATTGAAAGGGCATTCGTCGTTCCCGCTCAGCAAGACAAACGAAGCCGTTCGATGCTCTACTGCGTTCGACACTCTATACTGCGAGTACGCTGAGCTCACAGCGTCGCCAAACGAAGCATGATCTGCGCGCACGAAACAGATTGCACACATGCGAGAGCACTCGTATACACATGAGAGCGTTCGTATACAAACGACAACTTCATGAGGACATTGCTCTCGTTTGTTGCGCAGTTGTCCTTTGCGCAACTTTGGATTCTCTCGGTAGGGTTGCAGGTGTTACTTCCTTCTGCCCAACGTATTGAAAACACTTATTCATCCCTTCCCGCAGGGGGCTCGTGCAATTTAGCATCTATTTTCAGTCTTTCGGTCCCAACAGCTGATCACCTTTCATGTCCAGGTCCACATCAGCAACTGAGACTAGGTCCCCCAGTGCTCTTTTACTCTTTTAACCTTTTTTTGGGGAGGGTTCCCCTAATAAAATGGACAGAAACAAGTGGGTATCCTTATTCTAACCTCTCAAATCTGGAGGACATAGGATCATTATTGGCACAAGCCGTCGAGAGCTCAGGCTGTTGCCCAGCGCATGCAGCTTGCCCACTTTCGCAGGCTTAGCCTGGTAAGCGCTGATCGGGTCTTCTCCCGCGACAGCCCATGGAGCTCCGAGCGGGGATTTTTGTGTGTCGTTTTTTGTTTTGTTTTCCTTGTGCGGGGTTGATGTGATGTTTGTTTTGATGTAAGACATCATTTGTCTGGGCTTGTTTGGATTTGGTTTGTTCCTCTGTTGTTTGGTTGGTTTGTTGGTCGGTTGGTTGTTTGTTGGTTGATTGGTTGCTCGTTTGGTTGGTTGTTTGTTTGGTCGTGTTTATTTGTTCCTGTTGTTGGTTTGATTGTGTTTGCTTATGGTGTTTGTTTCTTTCTTTGTGTGTTTTTTTTCTTTTGGTTTGTTTGTTAGTTTGCGGGTCTTCCTTGGGACACCAACTCATCAACGGGATTTCAGGATCCCTGGCCTTTCCCTTGGCATAATTCAATCATCTTGCAGGCACAAGGGTGTTATCTTTGCCAAGTGGGCTTCCCTGCTCGTGGTGATTTTGTTTGTCAAAGCGTCCTTTTTGTGTTTGATCTTCAAAGCATATATCCATCCACCAATAAACAGTATCCTTTCAAGCTTCCTTTCACGAAACATCCAACACCTAGATGTGCAGTGGCACCCCAAACACCCCAGTTTTGTTGGTAGGTTCCGGCTAACGCATGGAACCATCCAAACAGAAATGGTTCGTTTGGGTCACTTGCGAAAAATAAGGCCCCTCCTTGTTGCATAGTTTCAATTGAACGCCCAAAGACCACCTGAAGTCCCTTGTTGCGGAACAGAATGGCCGCCGAATGCTTTGGTTAGGGGGCGCAGTCAACTCATGGGGAGTTGGATGGAGCTAAATGGTTAGCAACCCTTGAAAGGGATGACATTGGGGGGGGGGATTCACTGACAGTTAAAGTGGTTTGTAAGCCCTTCAGCAAACTCTCTGGCCATCTAGGTAGCTTTACTGTATGTTGTTTGCTTCGTCTGCAGTTGTTGGTTTGTGTTTATTGATAGTGTGCGGCTGCAACACCAAAATATTTGGCCAGGTAGGTTTACAACCCCACACCCATGTTTGTTCTTAGCTAAGGAGCGACGTTGAGCCCGTGGTGGCGGTTCTGAAGCTCGGAGTTTCGGGGCACTTGGGTACTTGGGTCTTCGGCCAAGTTTGCGAGTTTTACTCTACAACCCACCCCGAGAGTGTGGCCATTGGTTTTCACCAGTATCTTCAAGCACCTTTTTCCAGAGAACAGTTTGGACGCTTTTTTTTCTTCTTCCGGATTTCACCTGCTTTTCATCCTCTTGGTCCTTTCTTAGTGATCTTTTAGTGCTCGGTTTAATGTCCTACAGCCCAGATGCACCACATCCAAACCGTTTTCGAGAGTTGTTTCTGGGAAGCCGACGGTGTCCCTTGATACTTGAAGCGGCTTCGAAGCGCATCATTGGCCAAAAGTCCATGGCCGAAGGTTGATTCAGGGTCACCAGAAGGGAAGCGAAGGCCTTGGAGGGGCATGTAGACTTTCTGGGTGAAACAGTGGAAGGCTTTCTCACCATGGGATCTCAACTCATGTTACATCTTCCCTGTTCTTGGCATGTTTTGTGGTTTCTTATTTTGTTTGGTTCTGTTCATTGATACTGGGGGTCTGAAAAAAACACAGTTTTTCGCAACCATACCAAGAGTATAGAGATGTTTTAAGGCTCAAAAAACGGGCCAGAATCAAACTTTCTTTGGGGGTTGCCCCCCAAAGTGACTTGCTTTCGGGCTTATAAACAGTCCGGGGCCCCTGAGGTGAGAAACAGCGATAGCCAAAGTGTCAGGGAGACCCCAAGCGAAATGTTGCATGTCTGAGTCTTGTTTGTTGCTTGATGTTTCCCCACCTGGCCCCACCTGTTTTAGCTTCACCCAAATGTTGAGAAGCAAATAATGGACCATCAACATATGGCCAACCTGGAGACTCAATCTACCCTTAAATGGGGTATTGCCCCAAACATATGGCGCGGTTTCCCATTTCAACGGGTAGTTGGAGGGTAGTACCCCATGTCTCTTCTGCGCGATGGTTGGCAGTCTCTCCTGTAAAACCTATTTTGCATTTTAGGGTAGACTAATGTGACTAAATATAAAGACTCACTCCCTGAGTTCTTGGACTTTCGTCACTTTTTGGGTTTGGACCTGTTTAGTGGCAACCAAACAGTTCGGTGATTGTTTGGTCGATCCACTCAGGAAGTGAGAAGAAGAATCAGATTACTGTTATTTTGGTGCATCTCAGACGTGAGCCAAGTGAACTCAGTTCTTCAGTAGCACCTATTATTTTTCCCTTTTTTGGTGGCCGGCCCACTAAACATGGTCTTCCCCATTTTTGGGTAGCACCCTTTTTCCCTTTGTTTGTGGTGGCTGCCCCACCAAGAATAGTCTTCCCCGAAAAGGGGCCCCTTTTTTCCAGGGTCACTGAACAACCGAGTGAAACGGTTTTTTCACCAGCGAGGAAGCCGTTTCGGGCGGCCAGCGCAGAAGATGCTGTGAGGCTCTTCCAGGCGGTTCATTTGGGCGACCCTTGACTGCAATTGGGTTGGATCGTTAGACTTTAACTTTTTGGTTGAAATATTGGGGTGTTTTTCGTACTAAACCCCCAAAAAGTGGAATACTTTTTGCAGGGGTCAACTGCAACCAAGGACCTGGCGGAGCTTTGCGGACTGCTGGATGAGCCTTACGAAGCTTGGTTTTGCACTTGGTCAATATCTAGGTCCACCAGCTTGGGGCCTTTTTACTGTTTCTTTTCTTGGGGGAAGGTTCCCCTACTAAAATAGACTACAGAAAAAAGGGTACCAACTTATTCTAACCTCTCTCCTGGAGGACCTAGCGCTTTTCACTCAAGATTTGGCTGTGGGTCAAAAATAGGTACCCAAAATGGAACTCTGGTAGCAGGAAATTTGACCCACTTCCATTTATTCAGCTACCCCTTAGTTGGTGGTTTGGATTGTCGGTTTGGGGACTTGAATCCCTGGTTCTTGTGGAATGGGAAGCCGAAGCTTCAAACCACCAGTCCAAACCATGAGGACAGTGGCTGGCGGTTTCCCCGTTTTGTTTCAGAACATTTGTAAGAGTGTCCCACTCAAACCGTCAAGCTCTGGAAGCATCATAGGATCCGAACCTCTCACAGCGACGGGAAACACTTCTGCAAGTGGCGGCCACACATGGGCATGTGCAAGTGGTGCGAAGCTTGCTGGAGGCTGGAGGACGCATAAATAAGGCTGACGATGACGGAGTGACGCCCTTGCATCTTGCCGCTCAGCACGGTCGTGCAGAAGTTGTGCACTGCTTGCTGCAAAATGGTGCTGACATGAACAAGGCCAGGACTTCAAATGGAGACACGCCCCACGGCAAGACTTAGATCGTGAGAACTGCCCGATGCTGGAGTCTCCTTCTGACCCACTCGTTTCATCTTGCTTGTCAGGGGATGACCTCCCCGGCTGGCGAAAGAAGCAAATGGAAGTTGCGTCCAAGTCAGCCGAGGCCTTTGCATGTGGCAGCTCGGAATCGCCGCGCGGAGGTGGTGAACTGCTTGTTGGAGGCCGGTGCTGACAAGGACCCGTCGGGCAAACTGGATGAAACAACTCGTGTTGCCTCCAAAGGGAAACCACAAGGCTGCAGAAGAGTGGTCAACTATGTTGAAACTAGGGGTTGGAACAAACTGGTTGCAACCCAACTTTTCAAGGGGAACCAGTGCCCCTTTTCCCTGTTCACGTGCAGTGTTTCAAACCGTCGCCAAGGACAAGGGCGACAATGATGGTGCAACACCTTTGTATCTTTGTGCTCAGCATGGTCGTGCAGAAATTGCAGGCCACTTGATTGATGCTGGCGCCGACAAGGACAGGGGCATGGGTAGACATGGAATCACGCCCTTGCAGATTGCTTCTCGAAATGGGCACCTGGAAATTGTGCAAGGGTTGTTGGAGGCGGGTGCGGACAAGGACAAGCCCAGCAATGACGGCTTCACGCCACTGCACATATCCTCTCAGTATGGTCGTGTAGACATTGTAGAGTGCTTGCTCAAGGCTGGCGCCGACAGAGACAAGGCGAAGAGTGACAACGGTGTCGCACCTTTGCATACTGCCGCTTTGCACGGCCATTCGGAGATCGTCCACTTGTTGCTGGCGGCGGGTGCTGACAAGGACAAGGCCAACACTGATGGATTCACAGCTTTGCATGTCGCCGCTCAATCCGCCCAGCTGCAAGTCCTATGTGAATTGCTGGAGGCTGGCGCTGACATGGACAAGGCCTCCAATGTTGGTGTTACACCGCTGCATGTTGCTGCTCTAAGCGGGCATCTGCAAGTTGTGCGCAGCTTGCTGAAGGCTGGTGCGGACAAGGATTGGGATTCGTTGCAATGCCCACAAAGATTCAACGGGTCTTCTTGCCAGTCATGGTTTTTGCAGAACAAATCAATCCGATGAGATGTTTGTGTTACTAGGGCTCTACCAACCAACCCGACAAGGACAGAGGCAACAATGATGGTTTGACGCCTTTGCATTTGGCTGCTGGATATGATCATGCCGACGTTGCACGCTGCCTGCTGGAGGCTGGTGCAAATAAGGACTGGGCCAACACACAACACAAGTTGTCAGTTTTTCTTGAGGGAACCCAGAGGGTCTGATTTGAGAGCGTTCTAAAGGTCCGCAATGGAAAGCAGTATTCGTGAGGACAGACTGGTGTGGGTCAAAATTAAACCACCAGAGGACCGCAGATTCGAGTCCTACCAGGGTTCCATTTTGGGTACCTATTTTTGACCCACAGCCAGATGGATTTGTTTTTTACTTGTCATAGACAAGGTCCGCACAGCCTTGGGTGCCTTCTATGAAGTTGTTGTGTTTTCATTTCCGCAACGGCTCAATGTGGGATGGTCCACACGTTGAAAAGCTCTATGTGTGCGGTTTCGCTGTATTTGCGTAAGCCAAACCACACGAACGCCAACTTCCACGAACTCAATCCGCGAAATCGCCGCGTAGGCGCTTGCTACGTAAAACAACACTCGCTTAGGCCACCCTCGCAGCCGCGGAAACCCTCACTAATGGAATTTGCTTAGCGTCTTTCTCGCCACAATAAGTGATCGATCAATGCCCATTTGGGGGATGTCTCAACCCCCCCCCCTTTTCTGTTTTTTTTTGTTTCAATGGGAAACCAAAAGGAAACCAATCGCTTAGAGTCGGAGGGGTCCAACACATTTTAAGACTGGTGTAGGACCCAGGGTACGGTACGTGCCATACCACAAATTGCGCAAACTTTGGGTGTCAAAAGAAAGCCTTCGGCCCCAAGTTTTGGTCAAGGAGCTTCAGGGGCGATTTGTCCACTCGTTGGATAATCCTTCAAGAAGGAGTTGTAACCCAACCAAGCAAACCCCTTTGCAGTCCTTTTGGAATTGAAGTGGGGTAACGTAAACAAAGGCAATATGACAACAGAATCTGTTGCTGCGACCCTCAATTCTCTGTTTGTTTATCGGCTTCCACTACCCTGAAGCCAGCCCCAGAAGAGAACAGGGCATACAATGTGCAATGGTCAAACCAGCAATGTACTTATTGCTCGGGATAGTCATGGGCCCCGGAATTTAGACAGCCATGGTAAGGATTCCTAAGAAAAAACATGACCAGGGCCTGCACGGTTCCCGGAGTTTTGACCTTGGAGTGGCTTCCCATTGAACCCCTGCCGTTTTTTTTTCCTCCCAGGACAAGGATTGCAATGCCGGGGTTACACCTTTGGACCTTGCTGCGTACCGCGGGCATGTGGCAACTCAATTGCAAGGCGAATCTATCGGATCATTGAGGTTTCCCATTTGGGTGCATTATTTATTAATTGAACCCGCCCTTTCCGGCTTGGTTAAGGGGAAAAGAATCAGACACATTTGTGTGCCTGTGCCCCAGGGTTTGTTTGGTCAAATTGTTGGTCTTCACATTTGGGCCCATCTTTGGATTGCTGCCGTTGTTTCACATGATTGTTTTCTCCTTGCATCCCTTCTTTTGGCCCATGCTGAGCAACTCTTTTGAGTCATCCCAAAGGTTGTCACCTTTATTCCCGGTGCTGTGCAAGTGAGGAAATCATGACCTCTCGGCCAAGTCGGCCAAGCACCGGAAAGCGATCGATCGGCTGGCAGCATGCCCTGGCGAGCTGTTCAGAGCCTTGCCTAACCCAGGTTCAAGGAAGTTCCTTGATGGAGGGGTGTGGGTGGTAGGCTCTCTGATATTAGTATTAGTTGTCACCTCAAGAGAGAGGCTGATGCTGCCTTTGGTACCTAAGGAGGTACGACTTGCACCCTTTGGGGTAGTGAACTTTGAACTGTCCTTTGTTTGCCTTTGTCCTGGAACTCATGTTTTTGTCGTTGTTGTTGCGAACGTGTTTTTTTTTGTTTAAGAACGGCGTCCCGACAGTTTGCCAATTGAGCCACCATCAAAGACCGGGTAAGTAAAGGTTAGCACAGGCTGGTATGGCTAGGTGGCCGCGTACGGATATCCGCCCTTTTGATTCTTTGCAGTGCAGCCAAACTTGGGAAGTTGGAGTCTTTCTGCTTTGGTAAAAGCCATTGTATAAGGCCCAGAGAAGAATTCCATGACCATCTTGGGATCTCAACCTCGAGTCAGCTTTGGTTTCAGGCGCGCAAGTGAGAATGGAAACACCCAAGCCCTCTTTCTCTGATCGAAGGGTTCCTTTTGAGCCCTTCTAGGGGGGGGGGGGGTGAGCTAGGTTTGGTCCCATATTCGAATCATGCGTCCTGAGGAATGGCTTTGTGGAGGTGGTGCTCACTGAAACGACCGATCGACGGTTTTCGGGCGGGTGGAAAAGGAAGCTGCTGACCGGTTTGTTGCCAAGCCGTCCTCTTGTGTCATCGTGGAGCTTGGAACAAAGTGGAACCACCCCACGGAGTTGGATGTTCACTTCACCCGGTTGACCGGTTGACCGCCTGCTCGATCATGTCCATACTCTGCTAGCTCCCCCAGCTAGGTGCCCTTTCTCACCAACTTTCTTTTTTGGTTCCCCTACTAAAATCGACTACAGGGAAAAAAATCGGGTACCAACTTATTCTAACCTCTCCACTGGAGGACCTAGTCTGGTTAAATATCCAACAGTATCCAGGGTGTATGAAGCCCGATGGTTCTTGCAACATCTTAGGACATCTCTCGGAGTTCCTGGACTTCATACTTGGACCATTTTGGTGAGAAGCCACAAGTTTTTACAAACAAACAATGGGCCATCCACTCGATCGGAAGTGAGTTGGGAAGAGCATTTTGTTTGGCCATCTCGATCGGAAGTGAGTTGGGAATACCATTTGTTTGGCCATCTCGATCGGAAGTGAGTTGGGAAGAGCATTTTGTTTGTTTGGCCATCTCGATCGGAAGTGAGTTGTGAAGAGCATTTCGTTTGGGCATCTCGATCGGAAGTGAGTTGGGAATACCATTTTGTTTGGGCATCTCAATCGGAAGTGAGTTGGGAAGAGCATTTTGTTTGGCCATCTCGATCGGAAGTGAGTTGGGAATACCGTTTGTTTGGCCATCTCGATCGGAAGTGAGTTGGTTTTGGAAGACCATTTTGTTTTTGCATCTCGATCGGAAGTGAGTTTGGAAGACCATTTTGTTTGGGCATCTCGATTGGAAGTGAGTTGGGAATACCATGTGTTTGGCCCTCTCGACCGGGAGCAAGTCTCTTCCCCAATGTTCAGCTTGAATTCCAGGTACGTCAACCAAAAGGCAGTTGCTGGGTGGGATTTGCAGCAAATCCAACCACAACAGCCTGGATAACAACCACTCTCCACCCTTCAAGCTGGTTGAAATCGCCTTAGCCCTTAGCATTTGGTTGGGTAGTGGGTGGTCTGGGTAGTTTCAACCACTACAGCTTCCCATGTGTTGGAAATACTACAGCTTCCCATGTGTTGCGGGTAGTTTGGGTTTGTGGCTGCGCCCGCATGGAGCGATTTGAGCGATTTTTGAGGCGCCATGCGGCTGTGGAAGCGGAAGCCAAAGCCTACCGGGAGCGGCGCCAAAGAAGGCGACTCAGGGCCCCAGCTCCGCGGCCATTTGAATTTGGCATCTGGGTTTCCCAGTAGTGCCCCTTCTCTACCCTTTTTTGGTTGGGAGGGTTCCACTAAAATAGACTACAGAAAAAAAGGGTACCAACTTATTCTATCCTCTCTACTGGAGGACCTAGTCAACTATGGGTTTGCTCTGTCACGGTTTTGAGGGGGGTCTCTTTACGGGTAAAGCATGTGGTACAGAAAACGTGGTCGAGCACACACCTAAGGTATGAATCGAATTAAGAACCCTTTGGTGGATCTTTTACGTACGGATTGATGTCCACCAACCACTTGTGAGTTGGTTTCCCAGTAAAATTCGCAAGTAAATGGCTGTGGCTCAATATCACGTACCAAAATGCACCTTGGTAAATGGAGCCAAAAATAAGAACCTGCGTAGTACATGGCTCTTTACTTTCGATCCACTGTATATATAATATAGATATATACATACATGTGTTTATATTTGTTTTTTCCCCTGGCTCTAAAGGGAATCGATTTCACTATGTTGCAGAAAACATATTGATTATTTCCCCCTGTTGGACTTAAAGGAATGGATTTCACCACCGGGCATGTTTTTTTGTTTGCGGACGAAACGCAAATGCAGGTCGGCTTTCTTTTGGATTTGTTTTGAAATCAACCCTAAAACAGATACCCTCGAAACACACTGTATGTGGATGTGTTTGTTCATTCGCCATTAGTAGTACAGCTATGGGGTCTAATACTCTATTAATTATTACCTGGACACGGAGTGTTTCCTTGTTTTGTTGTTACCCTTTGTGGGGGGTGTTATAGCAGCAACCAAAGGGAAGGCCATTATGAAGTTTGGGGGTGCCTATTTAAAGACAAACCACTTAGGTCAAAGCCTTCACAAGTTGACTTGGCAGGTTGAACGTTCAATGACCATATACTCACTTGCCCAAAGCGAATCGACCTTTTGACCTTTTGGTTTTCCCATGTTGGTCCATTTTTCGTAAAGGTCCCAAAGGTGATCACCTTTTATTTCCAGGTCTTTTGGGCAAGTGAGTATAAGATGTTTCCAACTTGGCCGATTGTTAGCAATGGGCTGAGAACACCGAGACTCATCTCTAGGATCTGGGTAGCAAGCACCCGGTATCGACATTCCCAGATTCACTGGTTCAAAGTTCGGGATCATCTGAAACTGGTTTCCCTGGACGACAAGGATCAACAAGGATGTGAGTTCTGGGCAGAGATACGTCTAGCACGTAACCGCGAGGAACGAATTCAGTAGCTGAGTTGATGGCCCATGAAAGAGTCTCAGAGTTTGGGGGTCCAAAACATAGGCCTTCGGGCTCCTTGCCCCCATGAAACGAATGCCCCCAGGAAAACTAAATTCAATTTTGATGAAAATCCTGAACGGTAAAAAAGTGTTTGAATGGTGGCTTGAATCCCAAGGATGGCCGACTTCAGCGAGTTGACCAGTTTGGTCGAATTTCCCCTATAGGGCCAATTCAAAGGGCTTTGGCGCAAAGATCGGCTGCGCTCTGAGCTTTCTTGCAAAGTCCATTTGCTCTCGACAAGAAGCAGGGGTTCAAATGCTCAAATCACCAATCCAAACCACAAGTGTTTTGACTCGTCACCCACTCTCAGAAGTCCTGCGCTGCGCTCGTACTTGACCCGAGTTGCCAAATGTGGCCATGAATTTTCATAGGGAACCACCTCAAACGTGATTGGTGCACCATAATTTTTACCCAAATGATGTCCACTAAAGGGTCTTTTATTAATGTTCATAGCCATGATGTCCACTAAAGGGTCTCCTATGAATGTTAATAGGCATGATGTCCACTAAAGGGTCTCTTATTAATGTTCATAGGCATGTGTTGCATGAAGTCTGTGTGGGCAATGAGGTGAAGGCAACTCCTTGAAAGATGTTTGGAAGGGCTGCCGGGTGCCTACAGCCTCCGTTCTGGAAAGCACATCCAGCTATCGTATATTTGGCATCTGAGGTATACGGAATACTCCCTTGGTCGTACTGTGCAGCCCAAGAATATGAAACACCGAGAAAATCAAGGCGACATGCCGATGGACCAAATCCTCCGGTTGGAAGCCCTGGAGACGCCAAACTCAACTCGTGCCTGACGTGGATGTGTTCCATTCACAGTAGCACTGTCCCAATACGTGCTGCTTCGCAGTAGGGAATCAACTTCGGGGCTCAATGATTTGTTTGGCATCTGCAGTCTCTAAAACGATTTATGACCAGATGAGGAACATCATCTGAACATTATAGGTGTGTTGTTTTTTGGGGGGCCCAACCCTTTTTGACACCAACAGGGGAAAACCACCCACTTCCGCACCCCTAAGGTTTAAGACCTGAGGTGAGAGGTATGAAGTTTCATTCCAGTTTGGATTTGTCGCAAAATGAGAGCCTGGAGTCTCCTTCTGACCCTTAAAAAATGGTTGGTCATTACCCAAAATTAAGGGTTCATGGACCCATTGTTTAAGGTCATGGAGACTCTAGGAGGTCTTCAAGATGCTTGGTCTCCGACTCTTGGTTTCCTCGCTGCTACCGCTTGCTCTAACCCGCACACTCGGCTCGTTCGTTTCGCCTCCGTCGCAGAGTGTTTGTTTCCCGGCAGGGCGACGCGGCGCTCGGACGAAGGTGTGCCGACCCTGCTGCTGTGCTCCAAGGACCAAGCAGAGGCCCGACGGGCATGATCCTCATCTCAATTGTTCAGTGGCACCCTTTTTCCCCTTTTTTTTGGTGGCTGCCCCACTAAAAATGGTCCTCCCAAAAACGGGTTCCCTTTTTTTGCCAGGGTCACTGAACAACTGAGTCACCTTCTTCCAAGTCGACCTGTGTACCTCGACCCTCAACATACCCTTCAAGATGGTTGAAATCACATAATTGGTTGACCAATACCAGCCATGGTTGAGGCTAGTTTGTGGGACCCTTTTTCCACAATCCAGACACGGGGCGCTTGTTCTTCTTCTTTTCTCTGGAAATCCAGTATACGGCCTGGGAGGCCAGCCACAACGGCCTTGATGTTGCTCGCATTTCTGTTTAGAGAGTTTGACTCTTTGTTGCTCTTCGTGGCATGTGGACCGGAACCAACAGATTCGAGTTGTTCGCGCTTTTTTGTACGCAAGCACTGGTGGTGATTTCCTGAGTTGATCATTCACCATCCGCGGCCGATTGTTCGGAAATGGCCGATTGTTCGGGAAACCAAAAGCAAATGGGTGGGAGTCCACTAAAAAACACACATTTGGTGATTTCAACAAGTTATAATCGTTGTAACTAGGGGTTGGCTTCCTGCCAACTAGGCGGGCAAGTAAGCCGAAGATGACTCTGCGGGACGGGGGAAATCTATGAAGGCCCTTTTCCTGCGGGCCGGGATGGATTGTTTTGCGATATTGGTGTTCTCAATCGAGATTCGGCTTTGGGAATGAACCGGAATCCCCAGGGAAACCACCTGTTGGCATTGGATGATTGAAATTGTCCCGAGCCTTCTTGGCCGCCGAAAACATGGTCGCAAAAACGGTGAAAGTTTGAATCCTTGGAACTCGGGGTAATCAAGTACTTGGATGTTCAGCCAAATAAGTTGTTGGCAACCAAGGTCAACCCACTTATAAATCCCGCTTTAGGGGTCAACCTTGTTTTCTTCCTGGGGTACAACCCTGGCGATTCCCACTTACCAACCCAGCGAATCGAACATCTTAGTAGGTCCATTCTTTAAAGCAAATCCATAAATACATAGTAATAAACGTAACAAAAGAAGGACAAAAAGAAAACATCAACAACAACAACAACAACAACAACAACAACAACAACAACAACAACAACAACAACAACAACAACAACAACAACAACAACAACAACAACAACAACAACAACAACAACAACAACAACAACAACAACAACAACAGCAGCAGCAGCAGCAGCAGCAGCAGCAGCAGCAGCAGCAGCAGCAGCAGCAGCAGCAGCAGCAGCAGCAGCAGCAGCAGCAGCAGCAGCAGCAGCAGCAGCAGCAACAACAACAACAACAACAAAAAAGACACAAAAGACACAAAAGACACAGCGCATTGAGGACCAAGTTGCGAGGCTTCCAAGTTCCGAAGCTGAAGTTTTCACGGAGATTGCGCATCATGCAGGCCTTGCAATTTACCGCCAGCGGAGACTCTGAGGAGGTCGGAGCTTGGGCTTCGAAGCGTGTCAGCGGTAATGTTGACCCCGGATTAATAACCCCCTGTTTATTAACATGGGGGTGTCCCTGGTTTTAGTGGGGATTTATCACTTTTGGAGGGAAACACCCCCATATTAATAAACAGGGGTTTATTAGTCCAGGGTGAACATTACTCAGCTTTAGACTTTTGATTGCCCATGCACTGAGGAACTGAAAGAACAGCATTTTTGATTGCCCATGCCCATGCACACTTTTGAACTGAAGGAACATGAAAGAACACTTATTGCAAGTTTCCTTATATTCCTCACCTCTGGGGTGGTTTGATCACCTGGTAGTTTCCTTATATTCCTCACCTCTCTAAGGTTGTTTGATCACCTGGTAGCCAATGTTCAGCCATCGGGTTCAGCCATAGAACCCTACAGTTGGATGATGGCAGAAGTTGCCCGTGGTTTAGTCATGCCCTCCTAGCCACATCAGAGCCACTATCACCCTGACCTATCCAATAGCAGTGTGGAAATGGAAGGGTGTTTGAGCGCATGGATTGTATGATCACGGTCGATTCGATCGGGTTCTGAGTGCACAAGGCTTCAAGGGTTTTTGAGAAGGGAAACGGGAGCAACGAGCCACGGAAGTAAGGATCGCTACAATCCTTCATGTCTTATGACACCAAGAGGATGCCTGTATTTCACTGGCTACTCTTGGGTAGGTACGGTATGTAGACTTGGTTGCAGATGTCATAACTGCAGTGTATAACATGATACACTACCCAGGAAGGCGGGGGCCTAAATGCATACTGGGTACATTGCATATAGGGCACGTTACTGTCACCGGGGAGGAGCTGTGCCGCAGATTGTTAGAAGCTAAACCAGACAACCAGCGGGTGGGGTTGCACGAGCAGTCATCAAGCCCATGAACCACGCCCTGGAGGGTAATCCTCGGAGTATAAAACGGTGAGCACGGGTCGGGCGATCAAGCTCAATAGGGATGAGGCGGTGGGAAGTGCCTTGGGGTAGCGTGAAGATAGGAGCATTTCCCGGTATAAGCGTGAACAAGTAAAGCGTGAACAAGTAAAGCATTACCAATTCAGCAAGTGCCAGGGAAAGAGGACACTTACAAGCGCCTTGGCCAGTTGACATTCTATCATTGTTTTATGTTCCTCCAATCATCAACCCAAAAGGCGAGCACGAAGGAAGCAGTTCATAGAATGGCATGTGAGTCAAATTAGCTGATGAAAAACATCATGGGATGCCACTGTTAAACAAACACAGCTTTTCTTGGCATGGGTTGTGTTCAAGTTAGTTAGTTTAGTCGTTTGCGTCCGTTCATTTTTAGTTGGTCGCGTGCAGGTAGGCAGTTTTTTACTCACCTGCCAAGGATTGGAAAGTACACCACTTGACTTAGTTCCTGAGTTCCTGGAGTTTCTACCTTTATAGTGGCATTCAAAGACTTTGGGCCGCTTCGACTAAAGTGGACTTAGGGAGGCCAATGAGGAGGCCAACGGGGGTGACCCACTTACACTCCCCGATGGAGAGCTTACACGTTTCCAGACATCCCAGTCTTTTCCGGTATCAAAAGCGCATGGGAAACCGTTTTTTCCCCCCAACAGAACTCTTTCCAGGGATAGGAATTCCATCTTTTCAGGAACCCATCCAAAAGGCCCATGGGAAACAGCGACTGGTTTTTGAGAAGAAGGATGGTTGCAAATCATTCTAGGGGTAACTTCCCCATTCTTTCCAGGGATCCGGATCTTTCTAGAAAAAGGCCAAAGACCCTGGGGGAAATGGCGATGGGTTTTTGAAAATAACGATGGCTGCAAAGAATGGACAAGGAATCAACCCCTGGAATACTTGTTGGAATCAACTCCTAGAACTCCCATGACTCACTCCGTGAGTTCAGGACTCCGGACTTGGTAAGTAATTGAAAGTTCGGGCTGTTTTTGACCAAGCCAATCAGGAAGTGACGAAATTAACGTGGAACCCAAACCCCGGCATTCAAACCAACATTAGAACACAGGGGTTCACATGACCGTTCAAGATTGTCGTCATCTAAATTGAGTCCCCTTGGGCCATGCCCCTTTGGCCCACCTTTGGCCTTTGCGTACCCACATCTACCATCATCTACCCAGGGATTGTGCCACCTACTTTTATTGTTTTGTCCTCCGAGGAAAGGCTCGCGCTCCCTGAGTTCCGTTTCGGGCTTGTCTACTTTAAGCGAATACCTTTTTTGGGCGGTCCAAGCACAAAGTTTGACAGGGAAGCCGAAAGGACACCTAGCGGAGTGGACCCCTATGGACTTGCTCTTGGCCCATCCGCTAAAAATCGGAAGTGAGAGGCGAAGTCCGGCTTGCCGACCACCGGACGTTTTTGCCACGATAGGTCCAGGTGGCGTTTGAGACTTTCCACCGAGCTGCCGGGGCCCCGAGAAGCGAAAAGAGCCAGCCGCATGCTTTTGTCATCTAGGTCTAACGTTTTTGGGGGAGGGTTCCCTACTAAAATAGACTACAGAAAAAGACAGGGTACCCCTATTCTAACGTCTCCACTGGAGGACCTAGTCATGTGGCCATGGTTCAAAACCAAGGGGATCCCATTTTGGGATAGGTGAACGACGCATGTTAGAACCTATTTTAGTGGTTGGATTGGGATGTTCACCGGGGGCTAGCCGGGCCGGGGTTGCGACCCATGGCCATGTGTCCCGGCTCCCAAAAAACAGAAACGCAAATAGGTGTCCTTGTTAGGTGAGCCTGGTTAAAATAGATGAAACATGATGAAACTGGTTTAGATGGGTTTTGTTCCATTTACCAGAGCCATCGATTTTTTCAAAAGGCCACATGGAAACGGCGGAGTTGACTCTTAACATACCTCCGTCGCTTTTGGTCCTCCTGGATCGCCTCGCTCTCGGCGGTGTGTCTCTGTCAGCGCCAACGCTGGTGTCAAGACACCAGACCTCCAGCGGGTTCCTGGCCAACACGTCCCTGCGCCGAAAGAGAAGCTAGGTCCCCCAGTAGTGCCCTTTTTCCCTTTCTTGGGGGGAGGGTTCTCCTACTCAAATTGACTACAGAAAAAAGTTGGTACCCTACTCCCTCTCCGAATCTCCTTTTGGTTGCCTCCCTGAAAGCTGCAAGCCACCCAGCGGCCCCCAAAACGCTGAATCAGCTGTCTGGGAAAGACTCAAGGACCCGGTTTGTTGCTAGGTGGTTCTACCACCTGGTTTCATGAGGGCGTATTTTGCGAGGCCAAAAAGCTTTTATAACCATGTCGACACTGTGGGTAGCAAGAAAAACCCGTCAATGGATACCTAGCCACCCATGTTCTTTGGGGTCGCAACGAAGTCACTTAGAGCGAGCTCATTGGTGGTCCTGCGAGCCAACCCTCGTAGGTAAACTGCATGGAGGGAATATGGGGCGTTAAATGAATACGGGTGTGTCTTTTTTTAGGGAACCCGGAACCCCCTTTTGGCGACGGGAAACCGTCGTTCAAAATGGGTGTGTCGGTTTGCAATGAATTTTAGGCAACCCGGAACCCCCCCTTTTGGCGGGCTGATGAAGAGGGAATCCAAAGGAAACCGTTGAACCCCATGTTTCGGGGCTCCCGTATGTGGGAGACAAAGTCCATCAAATTCCCAGCCGAAAGTTGACCAGAACTCATGGTCCCTGTCATCCAGCGTGGCTGCGGGGTGATTCGGGCTCTTGACATCTTGACACGAGCTTTCCGACCCATACTGTGGATGGGCGCGAAATCCTGCACCACCTGATACCCAAGAAACCCTGGCATGATGATTCCCCAGCAAAGTACCAACAAACCATGGTTTCCCAACGTTTCAAAGTGGGTGCCGTCGGGTTCTTAGGGAAAACAAAAGGAGAACCCTTCGTGTTTGGGTTTCCCCTGTTTGACACATACCCGGTTATTTTGGTATGTCCACCCTTTGGTGACACATCATCCAAAGCATTCCCTCATTTCGGGCTAAGCGGCCAGGTGCATCAACCATTTGGAGAAGTCGATTCCCGCTAGGTACTGCTGTTTAGAATTGGTCGGTACCCCTTTGAGCTGACCCAATATTAGAATTGGTTCGGTATTGGCTCAGTAGTCTTCAGAATGTCTGGTTTCCTGTGACGAGCCATAGCCATCTTCACTGCAGGCGTGTCCTTTAGTGCAGCTATGTTCAGCTTTTGGCGAATGAGCCCAGGTGGAGAACCCCCAGCGGAACCGAATCTCCTTTTGAACCCTCCCTAGCTGGCCCAAACCAACCAGAGCCGATTTCTGGAAATTTCAACTGGGCCTCTCGTCGCCCAACACGCTGAATGTGAACCATTGGGTCCATTTCTTTGACAGAGGATCCGCCTGGACCCACGATGCTATGGCACCGCAAGTGGTGGCTGGCCATGCCCCATGTTTAAGGGAACTTTGACATATATATATATACATACATACATACATACATACATACATACATACATACATACATACATACATACATACATACATACATACATACATACATACATATACACATACATACATACATACATACATACATACATACATACATACATACATACATACATACATACATACATACATACATACATACATACATACATACATACATACATACATACATACATACATACATACATACATACATACATACATACATACATACATACATACATACATACATACATACATACATACATACATACATACATACATACATACATACATACATACATACATACATACATACATACATACATACATACATACATACATACATACATACATACATACATACATACATACATACATACATACATACATACATACATACATACATACATACATACATACATACATACATACATACATACATACATACATACATACATACATACATACATACATACATACATACATACATACATACATACATACATACATACATACATACATACATACATACATACATACATTACATACATACATACATACATTACATACATACATACATACATACATACATACATACATACATACATACACACATACATACATACATACATACATACATACATACATACATACATACATACATACATACATACATACATACATACATACATACATACATACATACATACATACATACATACATACATACATACATACATACATACATACATACATACATACATACATACATACATACATACATACATACATACATACATACATACATACATACATACATACATACATACATACATACATACATACATACATACATACATACATACATACATACATACATACATACATACATACATACATACATACATACATACATACATACATACATACATACATACATACATACATACATACATACATACATACATACATACATACACATACATACATACATACATACATACATACATACATACATACATACATACATACATACATACATACATACATACATACATACATACATACATATACACATATACATATAGGCCCAGGATGAACACTTGTAGGTTGAACCGGGAGTTTGGCAAGCAACTTTTCAGGTGCGGCAGGCCGCAAATGCGGGGCAGGCTGGACCTGCGTCTTACCCGGGATCCCACCTTGTCGGCTTTTACCGGGGATTTTTTTCGAGTTTTTCGGCGGTTTGCTTGGGGTTGATTTGCGGGTTTACACAAGCCAATGGGACCTAGCCTGCCCAAAACTGAGATCCTGGTCAGATTTGTTGCTGCTGTTTACGATTCTTATGTTTTCCAGAGTGGCTGTGGTCATTGGGCTGGGTCTGTGTGCGTGCATGTGTCTGTGTGTGGCGCCCAAACCTGAAGCCCGTGTCTTCGCTCCGGTGTCACGGTCCGGTCTGCCCAAACAAGTGCTGAACCTTAGGGTTGGGTTACAGGACATGCGGGAAAACAGCTAAAATAGGGTGTCTTGGGGCGCCTTTTACATGCGCCTTAACGAGGACGGCAAAACCGTGGCCGCCATGGATATATTGTGCCCAGGCTTGCGGGAACTGTTCTCGCCTGGGCACTTTCATTTCAACCTGGCCATGTCCTGCAGATTTTCCTGTAAGTTACCCCTTTGAACCCCTTTTTCGTTTGGTGAGCTCCCCGGCAAGAAGCATGGAATTTGCAGAAGAGGTCGCCGAATCAACGGATCACTGGTTGCAAGCTGCGGTGGTTGGCAGCCCGTGGGGTTTCCATTCGGCTTTTGCCCAAGGCTTGCTGGGTGCATGGCTCATTCAAGGAGACATGTTGTTCCGTCCAACAGTCTCTAATAAGCGGGCTTTTGCCGAACAACCCTGCTTCTTAAGCCCAAAACTTTTTGAAGGGATCATTGGTGATTTGCGTGGTTCTGTTTGTCCAGGCCCTCAGACGAGGCCACCCCCTGCGTAGCGTCTTTTCAACGTAGTTCCAACAATGAATCCCCCTCAAGTAGATGACCACTCACCAAATTAATTGGCTTAGATTTGGGTAGTCTTGCTGGGGTAATTTTGAGTTTCCGATTCCTTTTGAGATTGGATTGACACATGAGTTTCCATTTGATTTACTGTTACTGGAGCTTCCTGTTCAGATTGAATTTGAGGGATTTGAGTTTTCATGTCAGTTAAATTTCATTTGATTTGGTATTACTGGTCTTTCTTCGCTCTTTTGAGTAGCCCCCTCTTTGCAGTGTTGATTAGGGATATGTTTTAATAAAACTATGTAAGCAACATTGAGTTTGGGGCTGTTGTGTTGCCATCATGCGTTGGGTAGTTTTCCTAGGGCTTGGAAAAGCTGGAATGACAAATTTGGGCTTTCTTGTCAAAACAGCATTGTGTGTGTGAGCTGGGTTTATGCCAGGTTTTGCGTGGTGAGGTCGGGCAACAAATGGCCATGGGTCAAAATCAAAAAAAGGTCGTACGTGAACAACCAATCCAACCACTAAAATAGGTTCTTTTCTTGGGTGGTGAATTCACCCAATCCAACCAAAATGAGATACCATTGAATTTGAACCATGGCCTATGTGGGTTTGTCATGTTTGGTGTGGTTTCAAAGGAAAACCACTCGGAAAACCGGTTCACGGCCATTTTGGGGGTATCAACCCTTCAAAGCGATTTTGACCACCGCCGCATGGCCGGCCGGTCAGTTAACTCATCGGGACAAAGCCTCGAGGCGCAGCTGCTGGTCGACCTCGCCAACTTTGAGCCGAAGAAGGAGATGGCGACCTTTCTGGCGGACATCGCGGCGCTCGTCTCAGGGAATTTTCCCGGTGTCAGGGGTGTCCGAGCCGATTTTTTCGAGCCATTCGACTTTTTCGACTTTTGGGGGTACGTCGTTTTTTCCCCAAACAGCGAAGCATTGGGGTTCTAACTTGAGGTATAGAGAATGGGAAAGTGTGACGCCGGTTCCGGGATCCTTTTTTCCGCTTGTCTTCCTGTCTCCCAGTCTCTCCAGTCAGATGCCAGATGCTGTGACGCCGGCTCCGGGCTCGTGTCTCCCGCTTGTCTCCCTGTGTCTTCCAGTCAGATGCTGTGACGCTGGCTCCGGGCTCGTGTCTCCCGCTTGTCTCCCTGTGTCTCCCAGTCTCTCGCTTGTCTTCCTGTGTCTCCTGGCTCGTGTCTCCCACGCCGGCTCCGGGCTCGTGTCTCCCGCTTGTCTCCCTGTGTCTTCCAGTCAGATGCTGTGACGCTGGCTCCGGGCTCGTGTCTCCCGCCTGTCTCCCTGTGTCTCCCAGTCTCTCGCTTGTCTTCCTGTGTCTCCTGGCTCGTGTCTCCCGCTTGTCTCCCTGTGTCTCCCAGTCAGATGCTGTGACGCCGGCTCCCGGGTCGTGTCTCCCGCTTGTCTCCCTGTGTCTCTCAGTTGCTTGTCTCCCTGTGTCTCCCAGTCAGATGCTGTGACGCCGGCTCCGGGCTCGTGTGTCCCGCTTGTCTCCCTGTGTCTCCCAGTCAGATGCTGTGACGCCGGCTCCGGGCTCGTGTCTCCTGCGTGTCTCCCTGTGTCTCCCAGTCAGATGCTGTGACGCCGGCTCCGGGTTCGTGTCTCCCGCTTGGCTCCCTGTGTCTCCCAGTCAGATGCTGTGACCCCGCTCGTGTCTCCCGCTTGTCTCCCTGTGTCTCCCAGTCATGGCGCCGGCTCCGGGCTCGTGTCTCCCGCTTGTCTCCCTGTGTCTCCCAGTCGCCTGTCTCCCTGTGTCTTCCAGTCTCTCGCTTGGCTCCCTGTGTCTCCATGCTGGCTCCCGGCTCGTGTCTCCCGCTTGTCTCCCTGTGTCTCCCAGTCTCTCGCTTGTCTCCCTGTTTCTCCTTGTCAGATGCTGTGACGCCGGCTCCGGGGTCGTGTCTCCCTCGTCTCCCTGTGTCTCCCAGTCTCTCGCTTGTCTCCCTGTCTCTCCCAGTCAGAGGCTGCGACGCCGGCTCCGGGGTCGTGTCTCCGCTTGTCTCCCTGTGTTTTTTTTGAGTCCTTGTTTTTGCTGTGTCTCCCCGTCAAATGCTGGCTGCGGGGTCGCGTCTCCCGCTTGTCTTTCTGTGTCTCCCAGTGTCTCTTGTCTCCCTGTGTCTCCCCGTCAGATGCTCTGACGCCGGCTCCGGGTCTCCTGCTTGTCTCCCTGTGTCTCCCATCTGCGGTCGGATGTCAGATGCTGCGACGCTGGCTCCCCCGCTTGTCCCCCTGTGACGCTGGCTCCGGGGTTGTGTCTCCCGCTTGTCTCCCTGTGTCTCGCATCTCCCGTGAGACACAGGGAGACAAGCGGGAGACACGACCCCGCAGGCAGCGTCACAGGGAGACAAACGGGAGACACAACGCCGGAGCCAGCGTCGCAGCATCTGACATGAGACTGCAAGACAAGCGGGACTCTCATCCAACCGCGGAGACTTGGAGACACAGCAAGACAAGCGGGAGACACTGTTTGGGAGAGATGCCAGATGCTGCGACGCTGGTTCCGGATTTGTGTGTCCTGCTTGTTTTTCTGCGTCTCCCAGTCTCTGCGGTCGGATGACACTGGCTCCGGGGTCTTGTCTCCCGCTTGTCCCAGTCTCTGTCGGATGCCAGATGCTGTCTGGATGTTAGATTCTGCGACAGATGCTAGATGCTGTGACGCTGATGCTGTGACGCTACCGGGGTGGTGTCTCCCGCTTGTCTTTCTGTTTTCTCAGTCTCTGCGGTCGGATGCCAGACGCTGTAACGCCGGGTCCGGGGTCATGTTTTTCTGCGGGGTCTTGTCTCCCGCTTGCTTGTCTCCCTGTGTCTCCCAGTCTCTGCGGTCAGATGCCAGATGCTGTGACGCTGGCTCCGGGGTCGTGTCTCTCGCTTCTCTCCCTGTGTTTCCCAGTCTCCGCGGTGGGGGCTGGTCCCGGGCAAAGCCAACTGAAGCTGCTTCTTTTGACCTTGCTTGCTGCCAGCTTTTGTTTAATGCTTACAGCCCTCCACAGGGTCCCGGGCCAAACCAACTGAAGCTGCTTCTTCTTTGCGCGTTTTGGGGCTGACGTTGCTTGCTGCCAGCTGGCTGTTTGCCTGCTTACAGCCCTCAACAGGAAAAATGAAGGTCCTGGGCAAAACCAGCTGAACCTGTTTCTTCTTACCCAGTTTTGAGGCTGACCTTGCTTGGCATGCAGTAACCGGTTCAGCTCCGTTCGGCTCCCTTCGGCTCACGTGGCAGCAGCTCGCAAGCGCAATTGAGAAGCATGAAGCTAGAAACATAGATTCGACAAGTCAGCAGGCACCACTTGCAACAATGTTTCGCAACGGGGAAAGGGCGTGTCGCAGATTTTGCTGCCAGACCGTGTGCAAAGGATGTGCCTCTCTCTTGGTCAAGCGCAGGTTTGTATCCTTGTGGAGCATCGTTGGAGCTAGAAGCAAGCAATGTCGAGCCTTAAATTATTTTCTCGAGAAACAAACAAATCGTGAGAATCGGCTGATTGCTTTGCTCAGGAAACTGAGCTGCTTTTTAGAAGGCCAAGTGCAGGTTTGCATCCTTGTGGCGCACCAGCAGGGCCCTGTCGAGCCTTTAATATGCCTATGTTTCGAAGCCAGTGCCGCACTTCTTGGCCAAGTGCAGGTTCGCATCTGTGGCGCATCAGCAGAGCCCTGTCGAGCCTTAAATATGTAGACTGGTTTCGATAGACAAATACGGCTGATACTGAGCTGCTTTTTGGAAGCCAGTGCCGCACTTCTTGGTCAAGGGCAAGTTTGCATCCTTGTGGCGCATCAGCTGAGCTCTGAGCTCCAAGGTTTTTTCTGACCGGTTTCCAGAAAGAATTGTCCTGGAAAAGCCTGGGTGCCAGCCAGCATCGTCCCTGCGCTTGCCGAGTTCTCCTCGAAAAACTTGGTTGATGCGTAGGAGCCTTTTCCTGGCAACCTACTTTGCTGACCTTGACAACTTGGAAACAGTTCACACACCCGGCCAGGCCCAGAAGTTGTTGCCAGCGGCGTGCATTGCAATGACGGCCGCCGGTCGTTCACCACACATGTGAACACCAATCTGCAAACCATAAGCACCAACTCCAAGATGAACCCGGCCAAGCTGGTGGTGTCCACTGTGCAGCCAGCATTGGGATTCCGAGATGGAGCAGGGCCGGAGCTGGCGTTCAAAGCCAAGCTTGTTCCAGAATGGAGCAGCGTTGGCCATCTTGGGAGCATGCGGCGCGCTGGACACGACAGAGATGAACGCCCTGGATGACCAAGCTACTGCCGGCTCAAACACTGAGGATTTTCTGGAGCTGTGCCGGGTGACAGAGGTGCGCGCCACACGGGCACCTTTGCTGACGCGTGCGAATTTGGCGCGGCGTGTGTTTGCGTTGCTAGGCGAGGATGTCCCGGCCGTAACGCTACAAGGCGCAGTCTGCAAGTTTATGCAAGTGCTCTCTTGCTTTGCTTGTGGCAAGACCTTTAGCCGAGCTTGAGAAGAAGATAGCAACCAGAAGTGGCATGTGCCCAGTCTCGGCCGCAAGCTGCTGAGACTGATGCGCAAGTTTCAGCAGAGTAGCGGGACGGCCACCAAATGCTGCGGTGATGGAAAAGTGCATTGAGTGTCCGTACTACGACAGTTCCTTCAAAACTTCCTTTGATTAATGCCAGGTGTTAGGTTGATTCACCCCGAATCCGCGGGGCCTTCACTCTCGAACATACAACAATATGTAGCTATCGCATGAATGGTGCAATCTGTACAAGAAAGGGCCTTGAGCCAGATGGTTGCATGGAGATCAACCACACCCCCCTTTCAAGGGTAGGGTCCCACGAGCCCCAAGCCCGCACCCCGCTGCTACGGTCCCACTCAAGCCCCTGAACTTGCACCCTTGCATCTCGACACCTACAACCAACCCAAACCCCAACCCTAAACCTTTCCTACACCCCTAACACTTAACCCTGACCCTAACTAACCCTAAATCAACCGAAAACCGACGGCATTGACATGGCATTTTGCCCTCGAAGTCGATGAACAACATCGATGCTTTTACCCGGCGTCAAGGAGATGGATGGACCCGATGTGTCCTCTTCCCAAAAAAGGGGACTTCCTACAGGGAAATACATGGACTGATTGTAAGTATGTGTTGCTCACATAAGCTACTCAATTTCGCAGCTTACATGAAGGAGACAAGCCTTTTTTTGGGTTATACAGACCTGTCATGTCTTTTTGCTGTTTGGGGTCGAGGCTGGTGTAATTTTGTTTCCCCTTTTGTTTCCGACTTTTGGGGGTACGTCAACTTTTTTGGGTTGGTCATTTGTTTGGGGTTGGGTTGAAGGGAAACCAAAGGGACACCGCTCATTTATTTTTTTGGGGGGGGGCTTCCAACATCGCCGGTCGTTTCAATAAAAACCACCAGGCCAGTGCAACTGTTCCAAGGGAAATCCAGGGACCCCTGTCAACGGAAGCAAATCGACCGGATCTAACCTTGTGGTCTGTGAGATTCTCCGAGGTGTACAAAACTCCGGACTTTGGCTAGTCCTTTTTTGGGTGGAATTTCCTGTTTTTTGGTTGGCAAAGGGACGCCAGTTTTGGGGCCCCCCTTATTTTGAGGCACGACTTTGGCCCTGGGAGGGGCGAGAAGGAAAGCACATGTTGGCCCCAAAGCCGGAGAACTTTTCGCCTAATGAACTGGACATATGTATCATTCACTTCTAGGGTTCATGGACGTCAGTCACGTTTTGGGTCTGGACCATTTCAGTGGTAAATAACACAAGTTTGGTTACTTGTCATTGTCCCAAGATGAAGTAAGTTGGCTGAGTATTGCCCATAGATTAATGCTTATTTTGACTCAAGGTTGCACATGCAAGTCACATCAGATGAGCTAAGGCAAAACTACGAATGTTTCCCCAAGAGGACATTCCATTTCCGGATACGTCCCCTGGAAACAACACAACAACAATATGTGTCCAATAGTGATCGGTTCCCCTTGAAACCAACAGAAAAATGGAGCATAATAACTTCAGCAAATGGAAGGGACATAGGAATACTTGTAGACCGGAGGTTCCTTTGGAAGCAATCGCTTTATGGCCTCCAGCCTACGCACCGTAAACCAAATCGCTAACCACTATTTGGCCGAACATCGTTTGCTCGTCTCAGGGGCCAATTTCGCCAGGACTCCTGGTATCCCACGGTAGGTCTGATGATGCAGAGTGCCCGCAGAACCACCGTGTGGCCCGAGTTTGGGGACGGGAGCTTCCACACAAAAACCAGGGTTTCGGGGTCTCAAAAACTGAGAACAACTCTCCATCCCATGGCTATGTCTAGGTTTCCCAGTAGTGCCCTTTTACCCTTTTTTGGGCGAGGGTTCCCCTACTAAAATAGACAAAACCGAACAAAAATCGGGTACTACCAACTTATTCTATCCTCTCTACTGGAGGACCTATAGATGTGCTGTGATTTCAGCAAGGGGCCAACGCAACTTCCCCAAAGCCAAAGGCTACGACCGCAGATTCCCGGGGAATAAATCTCATGTTGTCCGGGCTGTTTTCCAGCCCGAATCCGCTTGAAACAACTCGCCGATCCAACTGTTCAATGCAGGTAGTTGAATCTTTAAGTACATGTGAGTTCCCTCATTTGGCTGTGGCTCGAAGAAGTGGAACCCATTTTTGGGCCCTTGGATGGACACCAAGACCAACACCTGCATAACCCCAAGGCATTAATTTGAGCCACACCCAGGTCCCTTCTGATCCGTTGAGACCCCGCGATACCACTTTTTCGCTCGGTCCCTCGATGCTTGGGGTCCCATCGCCTCAGTCCTTTGCTTCGCAAGGTGAAGCGCAAAATTTGGCGGTCGCGCGCCGCTTGGGTGTCGGGCACCTTAGCTTCGGTCTCCAAGCCAAAGGGGCGCCTCGTCTTTGAGGCTCGACGCCCTTGTTTGTTGGTGGAATTAAAGGGAAACTACGAGGACAACCAACTACGAGGACAACCACCCACTACGTGGATTTAAAGCGTCCCCTAAACGCTGCACCCACACATTTGTCAGCCTGCGAAACTGGGGTTGTGCTAAAACCGGTGAACCCCCCAAATACCATTCAACAACCCCCAAAGGGGGTACTGCCCCGAAAGGTGCTCTTGTGGGGAAACCTGCCTGATGCGGGCCTCCGAGTCTCGCGAAAGAACAAGATCCAACCCCCCAATGGATTGCCAATGCGTGCAATAGAACCACAATGGTTTCTTGTGCTTGTATTACGCAGGGTCCGGACAAGCCACGACTGTAGGCAACCCTTCGCCATGTTCCTCTTGGCGTGTAAAGAGTGGTTTGCTTGGTTACCTATCAGACGGGGAAATGGAATCACTGGGTTAGCTATATCTACTACGTCAGTAGCCTACTCTTTGCATAAACTACCATTTGTCATGCAGTCGAAAAGTGCCATTGAACAATATTCATATCCTTTTTTTCTCGTTTGTTATTTCGTGTTTTCTCCCCTTCTTGCAATATGTTAGGCACCCACCGCAGCCTACATATATACGCATGTATCAAGTTGCTACAGCCTTGTATGATCCCTCTCATATGTGTGTGTGTGTGTGTTTTGGGTCTTTTTGTGGGTACCCTTTGGGGGGTTGGTCTAAAACGAAGCCAAAAGGACGCCGACCAGTTTGGAGGTTTTTCTTGTTTTGGGGAACACCCATATGCGTACTACAAAATCATTATTTTACCAACTCAGGTGCCTTTGAACAAATCGTCGGAACCTACTTGAGGGTCCCCTAGATTTCCGCAGAAAGGTCCGAAACATCACTGTTGGGTTTCCAATGGTTGCAAATGTATTTGCCGAGTTCCTTTTGGAGTGATGTTTAAAGAGGAAATCGGGGGGAAGCCTGTGCTCGCCAAGCTTGGCCTCCGATTTGTGGGAATGAGTAAGGTCTGGTGCCTACAGCAACCCCTGATTAGGGTTAGCAGCATGAGGCGTTGAGCAAGAAACCAGGCCCTGAGTTTCACTTACCTCTTGACTTGACTGCTATTGGGTTCCCCAAAAAGTTAAAAAGTTAAACTTTTTGCAGGGGGGTCAACAGCAACCAAGTTGAGAAGGCCAGTTTAGTACACAAAGAGTTTGGTTACGTTTCCCTCACTCCCTGCGTGCCGGGACCTTCGTCACTTTTGGGTCTCCATATCACTGGCCAGATAGAAGCTTGGCTACTTGGTTGGTTGCGAATCCACCGGGTCGGAAGTGCGTTCCTTGCAACCCAACCAACTCCCAACTCCACCCCAACTCCCCAACCCAACTCCCCAACTTTACCCCCTCCTCCCATTCCACTCCCAATGGCCTCCACCCCAACTCCCTGACCCAACTCCCCACCTTCAGCCACCACCCGAGGCTCGCGAAGCTGTCGGAGATGCCCTCCTGGAAAGCCGCCGTGGAGGCGTCGGAGGCGCGGCTGAATTTCCAGCTGGGGAAAAGAAAGGTGGCCGGGTCAATCAGCTTCCCTCAAATTGGTGGTTTTAGGATGGTTTTTGGGATAGGTCGCCCTGGTCCTTCCCTCAAATTGGTGGGTCTTGGGATAGGACGCCCTGGTTCTTGTAGAGGGTACGTGGGAAACCACCCCTTGTTACATAACCCTCAGCTGCCCAAAGCGAATCGACCTTTTCACCTTCTGGTCTTGCTTTGGTACCTAGTTTGAGCCTTTTGGTCCCGAGAGGTGCTAACTTTTAATTTCTAGGTCCCTAAGGGGCAACTGAGTAAACCCTTCCTTCGGCGATGTAGGGAAACCCCAAAAGACACGTGTCAGAAACCTTCAGGAACGTTTTTTTTTAGCCTCAGAAATGATCACTTCCCCTTCAAAATCGCCCAAGGTAGTCTTAGGCGTTGCCGCTCGCTCACGTGTTGTTGTTGCGGGTGTTTGGGTTGGCTGCAGGAATTCCTACTTCACTTCAAGTTGGTTCTACAGTAAAGGGGGCTGTAGTCGTTCTTTCTGTGGGCTTAAAGCCCCTTTTGTAACCTGAAAACACAAACAACTTAGCTGCGTAACCACACCATTCGGCGGCCAAGCATGGTTGGTTCGTCAGGCATCATGTGGAAAGGACTCTTGCTTTGGGATTTGGTTTGTTTGGGCAAATGCAGGTTCCTGCTAACCCATATTCTTTTCCGGTTACGCAGGGGGTGAGAAAACTTCCAACCAGGCTCGTAACCAACAAAACACGTGTAAGTTCAGTTTCCCTCCAAATGGGTGGTTTGGATTGGTGGTGGTTAAGGGTAGGGCCCCAAGGTTCCTCTACAAGAACCAAGGGCTCAAATCCCCAAACCACCAACCCAAACCACCAATCAGGGGGGAAGCTGCATTTTTCGCTTGGGACAACAAAGGCTTGTGAGGTCCGCTGGTCGGGCTGTCGGGATGGCTCGAGGGTTCCTCCGTTGGAAACAAACGAGCGTGCTTGTGTAGGGTTCCTTTTTGGGTTTTGAAGGGAAAAGCAAGGAGACCGACGATCTTTACGGGTCCAACTCCTTTTTTCAGAAACACAAATGGAGAAAGATCGTATTGGATCCTTTTGTTTTTCTTTTCCGGCGCAATAAACCTGCTCTTGTGAAAATCCTTGAGTGTAAATGCTGCAACCCCTCAGGAGGGCTGCAACCCATGACCTCGCAACCTACCCCGTACAGTTGTGGGCGAGTCGGCCTTTTGCCACGGCGGTTTTCCAATTGGTACTTCCGTCCGGGTCCAAAAAGGTTCACCTGTCTTCACCATTGTTGGCAAGTGTGTAGGCTTTTAGGTTTTTAGGTTTGGGTGCTCATTTTTGGTAGGCTGCAACAAAAACATGTTTGTTTGCTACCAGAGCAAGGGCTTCAATGCTTGTATTTTTGCTGGTCCTTTGAGCAAGTGAGTATAGCCAAATTGAGGTGGCCAGAGGGTATGAACTTCCAGCCGTGCTGAGACACCGTGCCTCAGGCCCTAGACCTCATCGACGCGCTGGCGGGGGTGGGTGGGTCGGTGGGTGGGTGGGTGGGTGGGTGGGTGGGTGGGAGTGGTTGAGGGCTCGATTCTACCAAGAAAGCCGTCGGAGTCTTAAACAACAGAAGTTGCGGACGGCCACAGAGGCAATGTTCACAATAAACATGCCCGCGGAAGCAACGGTTCACGAAGAATCACATGCATGACATGATTAAACATACAAACATCGGATGTTCACATGCTTGCGCAGATGTTGATCCCGGAGCTTTCTTCTTTGGACTTTGCACCAGGAATGTACCCAATGTGCCGCCTAAGGAGTTGATGGTAAGTAGTAACCAACCAACAGATGGTTTGTGTGCTGAACAGCACTGTCGCACGAAGGACGTGTATCCAGCTTCCTACGGATTGGCGGTCCCCCTAGGTTTTTAGGTCTGCAGAGTTTAGTGGGGGTCTCCTTTCAACGCACAAATTGAAATTTTAGCAGGGGATTAGGACAGTCCAGCTTTGAACATCCAAGTCATTGGAATATGGTTCAACAGACTAAGTGCTCCCTTTCAGAGCTTCAATTACCCTCCCAAACTAGCATGGAAGTGCAAGAAGGCCCTTTCCAAGAGGAAAGTTTTCTCTCTACAGGGGTTTGTGCACTTCCATGTTAGCTGGTGGGAGGGTAAACAAAATGGAAGTTGAACAAACTGCTGGGATCTTAGGACAGTCCAAGTTGATGTGATTGTTTGTCCGGTAAACCGCGTTTCCCGCGCTGAACCGGAAGCGGAAAGGCCTCTCTTTGCCATGCCAAAGTCGGAATGGCATACTGTGGATGGTTGCACAATCCCTTCGCACCAGCTTGAAACCATGGTTGAAACCATTGTTTAGTGGTATTTACAGGGGCGAAATGGATTTCGTCCAGCCGCAGTATTAGCCCATAGTCTTCCATTTGCTTAAGTTTTACTGCCCCCTGGTGGTTTGAAAGGTAATACATATCACCACTGGACACATGTTTTCCGGGGGATGCATCTGCAAATGGAGGTAGTTCACAGAAACCGCACATGTTTGCAGGGGATTTGCCTTTTTCTGGCGAGCAGGACCTCAGGAGGCGCGGCTTTACCCAAAGCGTTGCACGGCAAACGCCGTGAGAGAGTTCCTACCAGGAAAATTCGACCGCCAGAACCTCTCTGATTTTTCCAATTGCCTGGCTGGTACCTGGCTCTGTCTTTTTTGGAGTCGGTACCCCTTGTTTGGTAGTCCCCGAAACAAAATACACTCACATGTTTAACACTTGCAGGTGGAAGTCTGGGGTGGCAACTTTGTCACTTTGCAACTATAATTCCCTTTTCATCCTCCAGTTACAGCTAGCCTGTCCAGCCATTCCATTTGACACTCCAGGGAAACCAGACAAAGCCAAGCGTACCTCATTGCTCTTAAATTAAAGTCTTGGTTGACTCCAGTGAACCTCCAGTCAACATTTGGACGCAAAAGAACGTGCAGGACTTTGGCCCTGATGTTTCTGGCCATGTCCATGTTTGTATCCGGACAAGCTCGCATGGTGATCCTGGCTTCGAGCATCGTCAATGACTCTGTTCGCCGAAGGGCTACCGATTCTGGGGCATGGGGCTATGGTGGTGCTGCAGAGAATGGCAGTGTCGGTGCCGGCGGTTCTTGGATGCCAGATACTGGGATGGGGTTTGAGGGCCCAGGTAACCCGAACTAGGAGCTGCTAGGTTTATAGCCCCTACCAACACAAATCGACCAAGTAGGGAAGGGATTTTGCTGCTGTAGGTTTCAAATTTTGGATCTGGTTTCCAAGTAAAGAACCTTTAAAACGACAAACAAAGCCCCTGGTCCGTGGGTTATGTGAACCCAACCACTCGAGACTCGGCCTGCTTCCGCGCCAGTCCCCGAAAGCGGCCGCCGCGTCGCCGGCGAGCTCGCGGAACTCCCTGAACTCGCCGCAGCATTCGGAGCCGGAGCCGGAGTACAGCGACAAGAGCCTGGCCCAGGACGAAAAGCTGTTCTTGCAGGGCTTTGTGTTTTTGTTTTGTTTTTGTTTTACTGGGTCTTGGTCTGGACCCTGTGTTGGGTTCCCTAAACCAACATGCAGCCAATGGGTATTTGATTGCCGAATCTACGAGTCTCTGATTGGGTTGCCGAAAAAAGGAAGCAGTTTGGGTGATCCACCTATTTGGGGGGCGTAACTGGGGTTTTAAGTAGGACGACGGAATTGGTATCTACTTCTAGCTTGAAGTTTGGCAAGGGAACCCAGGTGACGCCAGTTTTTGATGACAAATCAGCGAGATTGTGTGTTTGTTGAAAGTACATTTTGTTGAATCCCGATTTGCACAACTGAGTTGTATTTCTCCTCAAAACCAACATCGACTAACCGTCCGCTTCGGAAGGATGGATCGAAATCATCTTGCCTTTCGCCCAAGGCGGGAGGGCGACAAACGTGGGGGGGGGGGCAACTTGAAGGCGAAGATCTGCGATTTTTGTGTGGGAAATCACGTTGTTGTTGTTGTTGTTGTTCTGGAGTCTGCCATGATCCTTGGAAAATAGGGTTCATTTCTCAAAAGAAAGGGCCGTGAACACAGTTTTACAGTGGAGACTCAGGGAAAAGCAACCCGTGGTCAAAAAGAGCAAGCGGGTGAAGGAGGAAAAGTCGACGTCGTCAAGACTCCCTCCCACACCGATGTCCATTGGGTTGTGAGCCTTTTTACAATTTGTGTTGGAAGGGGGTGGGCTACCCAAAACACGAGTGTTTGTTTTTCCCATGGCCGCAGAGGGTCTGGGCTTTACTTGGTCTGTCCGCGCGAGTGAATGACTTATATAGGTATCAAAGGCACATTGACCACCTGCCTGGAGTGCGTTGAGGCTCGTTTTACGTTGGCGCTGTAGGGTCTTCCCTTCGTTGGCTTGGATTGGTGGTTTGGGGATTGGAACCCCATTCTGAAGCCAAATGGGGAAGGCATCCCCGAACGTCCAAGCCACCAAACCAAAGCAAACCACCGTAGGGTGAGAGAATGTTTGCTTCGACACTTTCGGACCTGGGCTATTCACCTACTTGCCTCCCACATCTAAAGGCACACAAGTCCATGTGAAGTGTATAACTCCATTCAGACAGCCTAGCCCATCCATGTTAGGTTTCCTTGTTTGGAGGGGAGAACCCCTTGAAAATCAACAACAAATCGTATGGGGTGTGTTCTTTCCAACATTTGGGCATACCCCCTCTGTTTTTTGTTCACCGGCGGTTTGACGGTCCGGGTGTTTTGCTGTTCTTTTCTCCCCAAGGGATTTCCACGAGCGCTTCGTCACTCACCGACCAAAAGATCGCAGGCGCTCCCGTGGCAAGAGAAAGTGAGGCAGGGCCGATTGATTCGTTTTCGCCCCAATGGCTTGGAGGTTGGAGTCTCCTTGTAACTCGAAAAATTGCCCAAAGCCAAAAAAAGGTGTAAAAGGACTTTGTCTTGGTTGCCTATTTACGAAGTGAGACCATGGGGTCTCCAATGTTTGTCAGTTACCTGGAGAGTCCTTACCTTTAGTTTAGTCATGACCTCTGTCGGTGACTCCAAGTGGGTTGATGAGACGGCCAAAGAGACGTACCGGGGGTACCCTCAAAGGCTTCCTATGGGCCTTATCGGCCCCAAGCCGCCAGGCAAAGCAGCAGATCGCAGAAAAGTAACTCTCACTCGTGCAGAAAATGCTTCATCTGCTTTTGTTTTTTTCTGCGGGTTCCTTTTGAACCAGAGCAATGGACAACGTTTTCCCAGCGAAGCGAGATGACCATCCGCTTTCGGTTCACTTTGGCTCCTTGTAACTCACTCCCTGAGTTCCGTTTCGGACGTGAGTAACTTTTCGATGGTTTGGACCAATTTAGTGGCAACAGACAAGCGTGGTGACTTTCTTGATTGCCAATCCACTCGATAGGAAGTGAGTCGGCCAACCTGCAACAAAAATGTTCGGAGAGATTGTTTTTCAGCTCTGAGCCTAAATGCGGGACTTTACGGCTCAGTTCGGCACATGATCACTTCCATCTGCTTCAGTTGTGTTTTTTCCTTTTTTGTTCCCTTGTTGGTTTCAAAGGGAATAATATATATATATATAGAACAAATATATATCACTACAGGAAATACTTGTTTTCCAGGCGGCTTGAGTAAATTTAAATGGAAGGTCAGAGTTTGCGTTAGCGAGTAGGTCCGAGGGGAGCTCAACCTGTTAGAATCACAACCCGATGGACAAAATCCACGCTCACCAGTTAGTGGCTTATCTCAGTATTCAAAAGGGGTTCATCAGTGCAGCTTTTGTCCATCCACATTGTCTTAGAGTATGTCAGATGCGCTTTTTTGGTTTGGCCACCAGCGTACCAACATAAAGATATTTCATTCTGGTGTACCATACCACCAAGGGCTACTATCCACACTCCAAGACTCATTCGGGCAATTAATAGCAGCATCACAACAGACATGGTTCCGCGACGTCACCCATGACCCATGATGAATGTTATTTCATGTCATAGGGTTCCTGATTTTGAATTGATTAATTTTAGCAACAGACTCGTGGCCGTCCACCCAGTGTCTCTTCATTGGAGCAGGTCGACACCCACCAGCGTAGTGGCATTCAGAATCATAGGCCCAGTCGACGGCAAACCCACTGCCCGAATGTTGCCTTACTCCCTGAGTTCCTGGACTTTACACTTTTTGGGTAAGACAATTTGAGTTGTACCACAAACAGATTGGACTTTGGGCCAATCCACTCAAGTGAGTTACTGTACTCGTTCCCCCGCATGCCCAGTGGCTATTTGGATACATATTTTGAGAACGGCCCATGGACATTTGTGGGACACATTTCTTGAATCAGGTTTGTCATTTCTACATGTTTAAAGTTTTGTTTCATTGACGAGTAACCACGTCGATCACACGCAACTCAAGGACTCTTCCAGAATCGGCTCGCGAGAGCCACGAGAAAGTGAGGGCACACCTCAACTGCTGTTCGAGCAAGCTGTTCAGGCATGGCACATTAAATGCGCAGTGTGTTTTGCAACTTAAAACAAAGCAGGTGTTTTGGCACGGGCTTTACACTTTGTTGAGAAAGATCGCCAATGGTGGCAGTTTGGGCTCCAAAGCGAGAGAAGCAAGTTCAAGCAAACCTGGGGATACTTTCCTTGACGGTTGTTCGCATGTTTTATGTTTATTTTTAGGAGGGGTTTGCAAAGCACAGCTTTCTTGTTCCCGTACCAAGGGTTGGAAAGACTACAAGTGTAATTTTGGGACCCAAAGAAATTCAATCCCAGATATTATGTCTTCTTCTTCTTTGGGTGTTATTGAAGGGGGCCAAAGGGAAACCCATGAATTTGGCTGTTTGGAGGTTCGTTGCCAAGTCAAGCGGTTGGTCACTCCAACCCAGGGTTAGCGCCACTGAATCGGGTTGTATGAGTCGGTAACCAAACATACCAACTCACGTCGGCAAAATCCAACTGAAATCTCCTCCAATTCTTGTTTTAGGATAGACCACATACTCAGCGAGTTGGTGTACAGAGCTGGGCCCAGATAAGCTCCGTTTCTGGAAACCTCGACAGCTGCAACCGTCGATAGGACGGTTGCCCTCCTAAGAGGTGAGGTGTACCGATTGAACCCGAAACCCCGAAACCGTGGCAGCTTCCATTTGCTGGAGAATATGGTGTTGATGTTCCCTTGGGTTTGAGAGGAACTTATTACGGACACGTTTTCTTCCAGGCGCATGCGCAAATGGAAGCAAACTACCCAGACAAACGGTACATGACCCGATTTCGTGGCAATACCCACCCTTTAAACAAAAAAAAAGGGGGGCAGGCTTCCCCCCATGCAGAACGCTTAGGCGCGACTCCCCGTGGTACCTCCACATGTCGGGGGCCTGCGCAACACGCGGGCCAGCAAATGGGTGGCTCCGTTTGTTGGAGGTGGCTTGAAAGGGAACCTTTGCGACACCGAAGCCATGTTCGGTCTGGTGAGCAAAAATCGGTGCCTAGAATGGAACGGACAAGTAGACAGCCTGAAGTCCGCTGTCTCTTAAATGTGGAGCCACAGCCACAGGGATTTTGCAGGCAAGTTTTACTTGCGGCGCTGGGGTGCCAGCAGCCCACCCTGCGAGGTTTGTCCCCTCAGCAAGGAAACAGGAAGACCCTCACAAGGAGCATCTTGACGGTAAGCAACACTCGCACTGTTTTTTTGATTTCTCAAAATGGGGGTGTCTTTTGTTGGGGCTCCCCTCCCCTCCAGAGAAACAGGCCCAACTGGTGGACCCCTTGTTTGCTTGGCACTTGAGAAGCCAACAGGAACCTGACCATTTTAGGGGACAGATTCCTGTTCTGATAGAAAGAAACTGATAGAATTTTGATTTGGCTTCCTTGGGTTTGTCACCCCTGTCTGAAAACACGATTTCAGGGTCTTTGGGGAAATCCGGACCTGATTCCGAACCGGGTTTGCTTTTGAGAGGATTGCATTTGGTCTTCAAGTCCTTGGATTTGCTCATTGGACTCATTGAGCCTGCGCGATTTTGCGCGCTATGTGTCACTTTCAGTTGTTCGCGATGAACGAACATCGCTCTGCCGCCCGAGGTTTTTCAAGGTCATTGGGGTCGAGTGCACTCTGAGGCAGGACCACCCCAAACCACCAACTGGAAGGCAGCCGATTGGTTTGAGCCTCTCTGGTTTAAACAGCCCAGGGGGCCAGTGTTTGCTTGTTTCAAGACATGTGTATGTGTGTGTTTTTTGGGGGACCCCAAAATGGCAACTTTTGGTTTCCCCGCAACAGGAAGGTACATGCAAAAACAACAAATGCCCCCCCCCCCACCCCCCGTATTCGTGGCTGCACATTTTGCTGACATCTTTCGGAGCCCAGCTCCTTGGGACTCTGAGACCTAAGTTACCCTGAGAAATCCCCCAACGCCTGTGTTTATTTTTGGAGGGATTGACTCTCCAATCATCGAAGCTATAGGAGGGCTGCGTCAAAGCTACTTTTCTTGGAGCCATGTTCCGCTTCCATGCTTGAAATGGTATCAAGACAGGCCTCCTGAGGCCACCGGACTCCGCACATTTGTCGCATGGGTCGATCCCTTCAAGAAAACTGTTGTCCTTGGTGTTTTGCCCTGAAAGCTGCCCAGATGAACAACGAGAACATAGCCAGGGTGGCCGTTGTCGGCCGCTCCCTCTGGATTTTTTGCAAGTTGATATCGTATCAGTTTCTGCTGGTTTGTGGGTCGAAGAAGCCCTTCGGCTCTGAACTTTGAGCGGGGAATCCCTACATGGACATAAATCCCACATCATGTCCAGAGGCCCCATTAAACAAACAATAAACAGCTAAAGCCTAAAGGTTTCTGACAAGCTTTGAGCCCGTGAATCATGAAGTGGTCACCTCAGCCGGCGACTTGAGGAAAAACGTTCTCATGCCGTGGCCAAGATTGGGATGCAAGATCGTGCCGGTCAGGTTTGCTCCTTCCATTGGCTGAAATGAGTATGTGTTTACGTTCCCTTGTTGTATCCATCACACTACTGGACATATTTTCTCATTTTTTTCAGGGAAACAATCCGCCAATGGAATTGGGGAATGCCCGTTGCCCCTTTGCGTGATTCGGACCCCAAGGCAAGTGTAGTTGAGACATCACCACATATGCTTTCATCGTTTTAATGTTTATTTTTGAGTTTTTTGGTCGGGTTCCCAGGAGTTCCAAAGAATCCTTTGGGCGAGTTACATCACTTTGTCTTGATTTGGGCGGTTCCTTTGCGCAGGTGGTTTTGGGATGTGAGTGGCTCGTCCTTTTTTGGGTCGGCGCCCCTGTTCTTTTTGGGGAAACCAAGGTAGGAAAACCGGCCAGCGCCAGCGCCATTTTTTTTTGTCCGGAGCCATTCCTAA